AGTGGTACTAGGGATTGAACTCAGGGCCTTTGTGCTGTCTTACATCCCCTGCTCTTTTAAAATGTTTTCTTTTGAGGCAGGGTCTTGCCAAGTTGCCCAGGCTGGGCTTGAACCTGCGATCCTCACACCTGTCAGCCAGCCTCCCAGAGTGGTAGGATTGCAGGTTTGTACCGCCGCGCCCAGCTGTGTGTTTGCTTCTTACTCTGAGGCTCCAGGCTCATTCCTCTCTGAATTTTCACATCCACTTAAATTTTTTGGCAGGGCCTTACCCTGTATCTCAGGTTTGAGCTCTTGATCCTCTTGTCTCCATTTTAAGAGTGTTGAGATTACAAGCAGCACCACCTTCCCCCTCCTACTTCCTTGATTTTTTTGTTTTGTTTTATTTTTGGTGGTACTGTTTTTTGTTTTTTTTCCCCAGTACTGGGAATTGAACTTAGGACCTTGCCCTTGCCAAGCAGGCCTGGTGTTTTGGTGATACTGGAGATAGAACCCAGGGCCTTTGCACTGAGCTACATCCTTCCCTCCCCCACACTCTCTCTTCCTTTGACACTGGGCTCACATTTGAAATCCTCCTGCTTCAGCCTTCCAGAGTGCTGGGATTACAGGCCTGGGTCACCACACCTGGCTACTTCATTCTTTTTTTTCCAGACAGGGTCTCACTCTGTAGTTCAGGCTGGCCTTGAACTCACAGTGATCCTCCTGCCTCCTGCTGAGACGTGCACCACACACCTGGCCTTCCTCGTTCTTTAGGCAGAAAAAATGGTATATTAGACCTTTCTATTACTGGCCAGCCTAGTTGTCTACGCCAGTCATTCCATCAATTACCATTTTCACCTGTTGTCCATTTCATCTCTCAGCTCGAAGGTTAGACGGGTTGTGGTTTTAGGTTTGTGCGTCTAGCATTGTTTCCAGGGTCTCCAAGTAGAACCCACTGATGCTCAAGTCCTTCAATACCTGATTGCTCTTTGGATGATGGATGAGTTCTGGCCCAGAACCAGAAGGACTGGACTCGCACCTCTTGGGGAACTGGCCCCTTCAGTGTGCGGTTGGCCCTCAGTATTGTGGCCTCGACCAGAATGTCGGGTGGTGGCTGGCTTGCACTGCCGCATGTCGTGAGCCTGAGCTGGTGCTGTCCGAGCTGAATGTGACCCCTTGCTCCTTCCCTGTCAGTATGCCCTGGCCAGCTGAGTAGCACAGGTCTTCACAGGGCAGCCCCATTGCAGTGTCATGAGTAGTCAATCGGGAAGTTGTTCTAGGTGTGCTCCCCTCGTAGGTGACCTGAAGACTCTGTGCTGTTGGATTGAAGGACTTGAGCATCTACACTTTGGTCTTGGGGTGCGGTCCTGTGTGAAATGCACCACAGGCAACGGCATTTCACAGCACAGAGAGCAGCGTTTGCCTGTGGCTGGTGCTGAGCCTCAGTAGTGTGAGCTGCCATAGTCACAGATTTGGTGCACTCCTGTTTTTTGCCACTTTTAGAAAAAGTGGGCTGAAACAGAGTTTCTGCCCTTTGTAGATTTTATGAAAATCGGTCATAGAGCAAAGCGTGTGATGAGCCCTCTGGAGAGGAGGAGGGGCCGAGCAGCGTTCAGAGCAGTGCCCTTCTGCTTTGACGCCTGCCGAGAGACCTCGTGTCCTTAGTCCTTAGTCGGCACTGCTTGAAACTCATCTCTGTGCCTCTCCCGGACCTCCAGGCCCATGTGTCCTCAGCACAGTTAGTGCAGCTCAGAGCCGCGAGTCTTCCTTCCTTTCCTGAGCCTTGGTTGCTCATGGTAGCAGCATAGTGATTTTCCTTTTTTTAACACAGTACTGGGGATTGAACCCAGGGCCTTCACACTGAGTTACACTCCTCGCCCTTTATTATTTTTTATTCTGTGACAGGGTCTTGGTAAATCTCTAAGTTGGCCAGGCAGGGCTCCAATTTGTAATCCTCCTGCATCAGCCTCCCAGACTGCTGGGATTACAGGCCTGGGCCACCATACCTGGCTGGTAAATTTTTTTAACTGACACAAAGTAATTGTACATGTTTATTGGGTACAGTGTGATAATTCCATACATGTATACCATGTGTACTGACTAAATCAGAGTAATTAGCATTTCCCTTTCCTTAAACATGTATCATTTCTGTGGTGATGATGTTTCTTTCCAAGAGTTCTTCATTTCTCCATTCCCCCAGTCACATGCCACTCTTCTCCGCCGTCTTGTGTGAAGTTGGATCTTTCCTGGTTCAAAACTGGTGGGAACCACTCTTGAGTGGCACCCCACCATTAAGTGCCTTGGAGAAGTGGTCGGAGTGAAAAGGAGTGGTAGGGTGCCAGGACTCTGTGACTCTGCGACCTGACCGTGCTATTTGGAGGGGTTATTTCTCTTGTTCTTACTCTACAGAATTTCTTGTTTGGTTTTTTGGTATTTGTTTATTTTTTAAAGGTGCAGATTTCTTTTTTTTTTTTTTTAATTCTTTCCTTGGTACATTTTAGGTATGCAGTACGTTTACATTTATCACTGGGTGCTTGTACCTGTACACGATGTATCTTAGTTCCTATTTTTTTCCCCATTACCTGTGTGCCCTTCACCCCCTCCACCCTTCCCTATTTACATAGATTTCGTTTCCATTTTTTTTTCTTTTCTCATAATTTTTCCTTTCCTTTCTTCCCTTTCCTCTTCTCTTCCCACCACCCATACACCTTTGGACCTTTTCCTATTTCAAATTATGAATTATTAATTTTAACCATTTTAATCCTTATTTACACTTTCAGTTTCTCACACTAGAGAAACTATTTGGTATTTATACTTGTGTGTCCTGTTTATTTCATTTAAGAGTATCGCCTCAATGTGCATCCATTTAGCTACAAATGTCTCTAGTTTCTCATTCTTTATGGCTGAGTAGTACTCTATTTTATAAAAAAACCCCACATCTTCTTTATCCAGTTTCCAGTTGATGGGCAATTGGGCTATTTCCAAGCTTTAGCTATTACAAACTGTGCTGCTATAAATATGGGTGCACATATATCGCTGTGGTATGATTCTTTTAATTCTTTGGGGAAGATCCCCAGCAGGGGAATAGCTGGGTCAAATGGGACCTGTAGTCCTACTTCTTTGAGGTATCTCCATACTGATTTCCACAGTGGTCCCACCAGTCTGCACTCCCACCAACAATGGAGAAAGGTTCCTTTCTCTCCACACTCCTGCCAGCATTTGTTATTGGTTGATTGCTTGATAACAGCCATTCTTTCTGGGGTGAGGTGGAATATCAGTGTTGTTTTCATCTGCATCTCTCAAATAACCAGTGATGTTGAACATTTTTTGATATATTTGCTGTTTTTACTTCTTTGTCTGAGAAATGTCTGTTCATTTCGGATGCCCATTTTTGAATTGGGTCTTTGAATTTGGGGGGTCTGATTTTTTCCAATTCTTTATTTTAGATCGTAGACCTTTGTCTGAGGTACAGCTGCTAAAATTTTTTTCCCAGATTGCAGGTTGTCTCTTAGCTCTGTTGGTGGTTTCTCTTGCAGTGCAGAAGCTTTTTGTTTGGGTTTTTTTTATTTTTGGTACCGGGGATCGAACCCAGGACCTTGCACTTGCGCAGCAGGCGCTGGAACCACTGAGCTAAATCCCCAGCCCCAGAAGCTTTTTAATAAGATGAGATCCCAGTTTTTGATTCTTTGTGCTAGTTTTGGTGCTACTGAGGTTTTGCCTATAGTCTTTTCTTATGCCAATGTCTTCAAGAGTTCTACCTAACTTATCTTCCAGCAAGTTTAGTTTTTCTGTCTTAATATTTAGATCTTTAATCCACTTCGATCTTAGTTTAGTGCATGGTGATAGGCATGGGTCCAGTTTTAATCTTTGGCAGGTTGAAATCCAGTTTTTCCAACACCATTTATTAAATAGGCTGTCTTTTCTCCAGTAAGGGTGGTTGGCTCCTCTGTCAAAGATGAGGTGGCTGAGTATGTCTGGAGTTGTTTCTGTGTCTTCTAATCTATTCCACTGATCCTTGGGTCTGTTTCTTTGCCAGTACCATGCTGAAAATTTCTTGTTTTTGTTTTGGAGACAGGGTCTCTCTATGTAGTTCAAGCTGGTCTCAAACTCACTATGCAGCCCAAGGTGGCCTCAGACTCACGGCAGTTGTTCTGCCTCAGCTTTACAACTGTGTGCCCTTGTGCTCAGCTCCTCACAAAATTTTAAGGTTAATTCTAATCATCCATAAACCAAGAAGAATTTGAACTCTTAGAAGCCAAGTGAGAAATACAAAGCAAGAGTCTGGTACTGTTCTGAAACCCATTAGGTGGAAATGTCGGGGATCATTGGTGGCACCAGAACTCCTGTTTAAACTGGTAGTTGTTGGCCCCCACTGCTCAGCCTGGTTTGTCTTGTACCCAGTGAATCACCTTGGATGTTCTGTGGCCTTGGCAGGCTCTGCATATGATCTCCCCATATATTAGCCTGGTATTCAAAAATTTCTCGGTTCTGGTTTCTGTCCATCCCATTCCTTAGTAACTTGAGCATTTACTGTTTGGGCCTAAAACTTTTTAAAGCTGCACAGAACTGTACACATGTTGGTTGGAAGTCTTGAAGTTTTTATTTCAAGGAAGATAGATTTAAGAGGTAAGGGAAAGGGGAACAATGATAGGTACGCTGGCTGTTTTCAGGCCGCTTGGTGATTTGTTTCATGTGACCTTGGGCACATGCCCTTCCTCTCAGGACCTCATTTCTTTTCTTGTCAGCAAAGGAAAGCAGTGCCATTGGGTTTCCTTGGGGTTTGTCGCACCTGTGGTTCCATGATGAATGTACAGTTCTGTCACAAGCATTAGCTAAGGCAGCCGTGTGTGGGTGGAGAGGCTGTGTTGAGTGGCTGTGACCAAGTGCACTCTCAAGTGGACGCCATCTGACTGCTGATTCCCTGTCATGGTCAGGTGCCAAGAAGAGACCAGCAGCCCCTCAGCTCCCTTCTCCATGGCCGGGTTTCTTCCTGGATGTGATGTGGTCTTCCTTTCTTTCTTCAGGTAGAATGGAAGAATCTCACTTCAATTCTAACCCGTACTTCTGGCCTTCTATCCCCACAGTCTCAGGACAGGTAGGTGGTTTTGGCTTCCACCATCCTTTGCCTTTCCACGCGGGGCGTGAATTCCTTTACTGAGTCACCATGTCCTGCGACTAGAGTCTGAAGTGACATCAGCACACACTGGTCCATCACTCAAGCCTGTCCCTGAGAGCTCAGTGGGGTTTCTGGCTTGGGTTTCCTGTGGAAGCGCAAAGATCTGGACTACTTCATTGTTCCTTGGTCTCCAAGGAAGAAAGCCTGGAAAATGCTTAGGGAACAGACAAGTCAGACTGGATCTGAGAAGGACTTCCTCCCTCTTCCTCTGTTTTAGATTGAGAACACAATGTTCATCAACAAGATGAAGGATCAGCTGTTGCCAGAGAAGGGCTGTGGGCTGGCTCCACCTCACTACCCCACCTTGCTAACAGTGCCTGCCTCAGTGTCTCTGCCCTCAGGCATCAGCATGGACACAGAGTCCAAATCAGAGCAGCTCACCCCACACAGCCAGGCATCCGTCACCCAGAATATCACGGTGGTCCCGGTGCCGTCCACGGGACTGATGACTGCCGGTGAGCACCTCTGCTCTTCTCCAATCTGAGGTGTTGATCTTCTGTGATCAGGACCCCAGGCTGGAGGGCTCCGAGGACTTGGGTGTGGGGTGTATGTTTGATTGCTGAAATTTTTATTAAGTGCCTACTGTGTGCCTAGCAATGTGCTAGGCATTGTGGGGGATACAAAGAAGTAGAAGATGCGGTCCCTGCCTTTGAGGAGGTGACATTCTTTCCTTCTCTGAATCAAGGAGTCTCCTGTTCTCAGAGGTGGAGAAGAGAAGGGAGTCAATCAAGGGGTAAATCTCACTGTTACCAGGGGGGTGGGGACAGGGGTTAGGAGACCATTCTTTTTCTACAGGGTTTGGGGTTTCCTGTACAATGTGGGATGGTGGGTGGCGAGGGGTTAATGAGACAGCTATGGGGGGAAATAAGATGAAACAGTTCGGATCAGGCCTGAACAGTGTGACACCATCTCCTCTTTCTCCCAATCCTAGGTCCTGGTTTGGTAATCACATCCCCCTCAGGCTCTCTTGTGACCACAGCCTCATCGGCTCAGAGCTTCCCCATTTCGGCTCCCATGATTGTGTCAGCTCTTCCCCCTGGCTCACAAGCTCTGCAGGTGGTCCCCGATCTCTCTAAGAAGGTGGCATCCACCCTCACCGAGGAAGGAGGTGGAGGCGGAGGTGGCGGTGGAGGGGGCAGTGTGGCTCCTAAGCCCCCTCGGGGCCGCAAGAAGAAGCGGATGCTGGAGTCAGGGCTGCCTGAGATGAGCGACCCGTATGTCCTCTCCCCTGAGGATGACGATGACCATCAGAAGGACGGCAAGACCTATAGGTAGGACTCAGCAGAGGCAGGATGGGGTGAGGACCGCTGTCTCCACTTCCCCTACACTTTTTGTGTCTTGCCCCAGCCTGGCTGGACCGACAGCTTTCTAGCTCAGCGCTGCACACGCATGCACGGATGCACATGTCAGGGTTCTGTTGCAGGTGGGAAGGCAGCCCTGCTGCGCTTCTCCAGGGAGCACAGCCCTCCCCTGTGCCTTTTTTTAGCCCCAGTTTTTGGTCAGTGGCCATGACTGACTTTTGAGTGACAGGAGAGTTTCTCAAAATGAGGCTTCAGACTGGTTTTGAGACTCTGTAGCTCTTTTTTGCTTTCTTTGTTTCCCATTCCTGTTTTTCCAAGAGTGCTTTCTGATAAGCACCTAACCTAACCTGTGTGCCATCACCAGCTCTTGGGCCGTGTCTGAGCCCGGAGTCTGCCTGGCCCCTCCTGGTTGGGGTGTCGGGAGAGGTCTGCACAAAGAGGTGGGAGGAATAGGGTGCTTGCCCTTTGGGAGTATATGCCAATGAAATGACTGCTTGTTCTCTAATTCATGGGAGTCCTTTTGACCCTCTGTTTTCTCTTAAATGGCCCATTACCAAAACACATCACATGCACGTTTGCATGTGGTATATGCAGAAATAATTCCATAAGAAAATGCCCTGGCCTTTGGAAGTTGGAAATCTGAATCCTCTTGAGAGCTGTAGGGGCCCTCGTGGGTTTGAGGTTCGGTCCCAGTATACAGAGTGGGGTAACCACTCTCACAGACTGGATACAGACAGGTAGGTGTGCATGGCTGGGAGACGGGATCTGTCCTTAGCGTACCGAGATGGGCAATGTTGTTCCCATTTTAGGAGCGAAGGGAACTGCGGCACAGGAAATGGACAGAGCCTTGGGCTCATGGATTCAGTTCCCGGCTCCACCACGAACTTGCTGTGTGACCCTGGGCAAGTCCTTTCCCCCTCTCTGGGCCTCAGTTTCCTCATCTGTAGAATGGGGAGATTTCTGTTTCTCTCCCATTTGTTGGGAGTAAATATATCACATAAACTTTGAAATGTTGGGAACTTCAGAAAGAAAAACTAGTCATCACTTAGCATTTACTTTATTTGTATTGTAAAGCTGTGCTGGAAAGAGCAGCCACAGTTACACTATGTGTGAGAACAAGGGCTTTGCTGCTGTGCAGGAAGTGATGTGTGGCAGTGCCCAGGTCATAGTGCAGAAGCTCAACTGCAACTCTACTACTACAGGTGCACCATGTGGTACAGTCAGTATACCTGGAAAGTATGTACAGGACGTCAGTGTTATAAAGGCGCCTGACAAGTTTGGTTCATTTAAAGGCATTTATATATTCATAGTGTGAAAAAAAATCTAGAAATCTAGATTGTTATGTGTGAGTAAAGTGAGGTTGCAGAGCAGTGGGAGGCTTCTCCGACAATGGGGAGCCCTCTGACACGTTAGGGACTCTGATTCCCTAGCTTCTGTTTTGTTTGGTTTTTGAGTCCATGCTACAGTGATCTCTGGACTTCCCAAGTTGTATGAAAAGAAATATGACTGTGTAGTTGGAGGAAGCCTGATAGGACTTTCTACACCCTCGGTGTTTTTGGAATTCTTGAGAGACCTTACTCCCAGGTGACGAAAGGGAACTGTGAGGTTAGGGGTGACTGACTGTGTCCTGGGTATGCAGCATTCCTTCAGAAACTCAGCACAGGGCTCTAGAGGAATCTTACAGGAATGCCGCTCTTGGTGTGTGGTCACCACCTCCATGACAGTGCACATAGCGTTTGACTCAGTACCAGGGGATTAGGTTGATACTCTGAGGAAGTCAGCTTGTCTGACTGTTCAGTGTATTCAGTGGAAGATCAGTCACACACTCACTTATCTTGGGGAAGAGTTTTGAGGGGAAATCATCTGAAATTGTCTTGAACACCTTAGGGGAAAATATAATTCAGAGTGGTCATTGTGTCCAAGACCACTGCTGCACGTTCTTCCTGTGTCGGATGTAAATGGGCCCAGGGATGTAGCTGCTGGCTTTTCTCTCCCATGCCAGAGCCCACTGCCACCATTCTCCGGGACAGATTTCTTTCCAGTCATCCAGTTCTCTGCATGGGAGGCATTTTACTCTTACTTGGCTTCATGGGATTTCAGAGTTTGGAGGTTTTTATTTTTTTTTTTGTTACCGGGGATTGAACTCAGGTCCTTGCGCTTTCGAGGCAGGCAGCGGAACCACTGAGCTAAATCCCCAGCCCCTCAGAGTTGGAAATAAAGGTTGAGCATCTCTTCTCTGAATGTTAGGGAGAAGAAGTGTTTTGGACTTTTTCCAAATTCTAGGATATTTGCACATTCTGAAGATTTCTTGGGGATGATACCTAGTCCAAACATGAAATTCATTTGTTTTGTGTACACCTTACACACACAGCCTGAAGGTAATTTTCTACAACACTTGTGGTGAGCCTGCATTGACTGCCACCTGTCACCTGAGGTCAGGTGTGGGATTTCCCACCTGTGATGTCATGTCAGTTACAAAGTTTTGGATTTTGGAGTATTTTAGATTGTGGATTTTTGGGGTGGGGTTGCTCAGCCTGTACTTTAATGGTCTCCTGACCTGAGGAGTCCTTCACCTGGAGGTTGGTCATCCAGCCTCTGCTTTGGTAGTTTTAGCATCATGGCTCTGTAGGGAATAACGCTCCTATTCGCCTTCTGAGCCTTTGTGTTCCTTTCTGTAAAACAGGCAGGGATAATAACTTGTCAGGTTGTTGGGAGGAGTAGACACAGTGTGTTTAAAGTACTAGCCAGTGCCAGGCGTGGTGGCACATGCCTGTAATCCCAGCACTCAGGAGGCTGAGGCAGGAGAATTGCCACAAATTCAAAGCCAGCCCGAATTACATAGTGACATCTTGCCTCAAAAAAAATAAATAAATAAAGTACTAGCCAGTGTCTGGCAGTTATCAGGCACAACAAGAAGTAGCAATTATTGTCATTTTACTATTATATTTGGTACTTTTGGAGACTGCATTTTTTTTCCTAGTCCATTGTCAATTAATTGAAGCTTTGCAGATTCTTCTGTAATTGGAGGATTTGATGACAAGAGTTGTTTTCTTTTTTTATATTAACTTTCATGTTAAGAGTACCTTTGTGTGTTCAACACCTCAAAAACAAGCCTAATGAGGGCCAGGGATTTAGCTCAGTGGTTCTGGTGCCTGTCTCGCAAGCGCAAGGCCGCGAGTTCGATTCCTGGTACCAAAAAAACAAAAGCCTAATGAGATTTTTATTTCAGTCACAATGAAGGTGTCAGGACTGGGTGTGCAGCTCAGTGGTAGAGCACTTGCCTGGCATGCACAGAGCCCTGGGTTCAGTCCCCAGCACTGTTCATTTTCTTCCTGACTTGATTCTGGCAGTTGGGGAAAATTATGCTATATCTTTAGTATAGTTGCCTTCCAAGTGACACTGGGGTCCAGCTCTAACCTTGGTCTTAGTGAAATGTTTGGTAGCACAAGTTCCTCCATCAACACTGAGGCCATTAGCACTAGTGCCATTCTGTAACTGGGGAAGGCTCGGCCTCCCTTTGGCTGTCCTGGGTGTCTGCTGGACCTTCTGCAGGTGAAGATCGTCCTCTTCAGAGTTACCAGCTGACTGGAGAATGGGAATTGGCATGAGTGATGGGAATTTCAGTGTTAATATAGGCCCATACCCTGTTATTGTAAGGTCATTTTCTCTGAGGAATTCAGTGTTTTTTTATTCTTAGAAAATTTAGTTATTCTTTGAAAAATTCTGTTATTCTTTGAAAAATTTTCCTGAAACTAAAAAAATAGAGAAATTAACTACCACATCTCCCCAAGTTCCTCTTATAAAGTGGGGAGAACCCAGAGGAGAGGAGAGGGGCTTGCTCTAGTTGCCTTGCTCAGGCTGCTCCCCTCTCTGCTCACCTGCCCACACTGTGCGCTGGTGAGCTGGGGACGGAAGTGATGTGGCTCCAGTTCCTGTGTAAATGCCTAACCTGGTCGAGCCTGAAAACCTGAGGGTTGGCTTTTGCAGAGGCTTCCTTGGCTGATGTTGTTGGACGGTGTCAGAACAGAAAGAGGCGTCACCAACTTGGCTGATGAGGAAATGTCCCTGGGTGCGGTTGATGGCACCCTGGAGTGCTGACAGGGGCTTCGTGTGCTAGGAAAGAGGAGAGGCTTGGCCTGGAAGTTCATTGTCGCGCAAACATATTTCCCTAAAGGTGTGAGGGCAGGCCTCTCCCACCATCTCCCTTGGCTTATGGAGGCTGGGGAGGACGGGGTAGGTGATTGAAGGAAGAGCAGCAGCAGGGAGAGGCCAGATACAGATGGTTTAGAAAAGCCCCTCTAAGTAATTCTGAGACTTCTCCACCTCCATCCTTCTAGGAACCACTGCCAAAAGGAAATAGGGAAAACCTCTAGAGACAAGAGAGAATCTAGTTCTTCATCCTCTAGGGCTGTACATGGGGAAATTGGAGAAAGGAGGGCTTTTTTTAGTATAAAACCAAGACAGATATTCCTGGCCCAGTAAAAACCATGTCTACCCAAATTCCATATTTTTCTGCCTTACCAAGGTTGAATTCTTGTTTTTATACATGTAGGGAGTCCAGTCATGCAACAAACATTGATTGAATATGTATAATGTGCTGGGAACTGTGTCAGCTTAGGCTGTAAAGATGAATAATGAAGAACCGTCCTCAGGACTTCGTGTATAGTTGGAATAGGAGAGAGGTCAGACAGTGGGCTTCTCTGGGAAGTGGAGGGAGGGTTCAGCAGTGCTCCCAGAGGAAGGGTTCTAACTGCCGCCTCACTTGGCCCAGGTGCCGGATGTGCTCCCTGACATTCTACTCGAAGTCGGAGATGCAGATCCACTCCAAGTCGCACACCGAGACCAAGCCCCACAAGTGCCCGCACTGCTCCAAGACCTTTGCCAACAGCTCCTACCTGGCCCAGCACATCCGTATCCACTCAGGGGCCAAGCCCTACAGTTGTAACTTCTGTGAGAAGTCCTTCCGCCAGCTCTCCCACCTTCAGCAGCACACCCGGTAAGGCTGCTCTCAGTCTAGCCCTCCCCAGGGCCACGTGGCCTGCACCGTCTCCTCTCCACATGTATTCTTTTGTGCCTTCATCTTCGCCCTTTGGGATCCTCAATTCTCTCCTGTGATTATCTGTGAAAAAAATAAACTATGTATCCTAGCAGTGTGGGGGCCCTTGAAAATTGTGGTCTGCAGTCCCAAACTCTGGAACAATTTTTGTGGTTTCTCTCTGTTTGGAAATCTTCTGCAGAGCAGGCCCTGATTTTACTATATGCTTCAGTTCAGAGCCAAGGTGTGATTCAACTTGAGGTCCATGGGGAACAGGCGGTATTGATCTGTGTTCAAATTGCTATTTGGAAGCAGGGTGTCTGTGGTGAGTGTGTGGCCTTAAGAAAAAGCCGAGGGTTGACAAGACTGGATACCTTAATGCTGCCAGAAGCCATGGGTCACAGCTCTTCATCATCTCACTGCCATTCTAGCCACCGACTTATGATCAGCAACAACCCAGATCTGGGTGTCCTCCTCATTAACCTCTCCAGGCCACAGCGTTTGGGAGGAGGGAGGAGGGGTTGCTGTCATCCACCAAGCAACATCATTTCACCCAGCAGAGCAGAGCCCATGGTGTCGAACTGCTCCCTCCTCCCCCCTTCCCTCCTCTCCTCTCCTCTCCGGCAGGATCCATTCCAAGATGCACACGGAGACCATCAAGCCCCACAAGTGCCCGCACTGCTCCAAGACCTTCGCCAACACCTCCTACCTGGCCCAGCACCTCCGTATCCACTCAGGGGCCAAGCCCTACAACTGTTCCTACTGCCAGAAGGCCTTCCGCCAGCTCTCCCACCTCCAGCAGCACACACGGTAAGGGAGAGTGGCGGGCACCTGACCCCGCCCTGCTGGCATGCCCTCCCTACCCCCGCCCCGGACACAACAACCCGCATGCGGGGGGCGGGGGAGAGGCTGGCTGGAGGAGGATGCGACTGCCATCGGAGAGGAAGAAGACCATGGATCCAAGGTGGATACTCACGTGGTGAAGCAAACCTTTCTGGCACAAGAGCTACTCTGGGAAGTACATCAAGGGATGTTCCCTGAGCCAGGGAGGCAGACACCTGAAGCAAGGACAATTCTCTTCCTCGTTTCTCTCCATGAAAATACCTGGGTACACATCTTGCAAGGTGTCCTCTTTGATGCCAAAGCAGAGGCACTTCATTGGAGAGGACCGTGCCTCTGTCCCTCAGAGCACCAAGTATGAGGAGGAGATGGAATCAGATGTTAGCTGGCACCAGCCTGGTGACACCCACAGCAACAAGCAAGTCTCCAAGGGATGCCAAGAGTTGAGACCAAAGCAAAACACGTGCTAAATAGCACAGGAAATGGGACAGCTGCAACTTCATAAGGATCCCCACTGTTCATGTCATGCCACGGATCTGAAGTGGCCAGGAAGAAGGGAACCTGCCTCTGGAAGAGCTGGTGGTCTCCTTCGGTGCCAGCTCCAGTTGAACCGGAGTCTATAGGCCATCTCACCCTGCTTCGCGTGGATGTGACAGTTTCGGCATAAAGAGATCAGATGGCTCGTGTGGAGAGGAGGAATGAGACAGTTTATGGGGCAGAGATGTGGTATTTTCAAGGTTACAGTGGAGTCCAGAACAGCTGGTTCCAAGCTCCGTGAGGAAGAGCAATCTCAGTCACTCTCAGGTCTTGGGCTGAGCTTAGCAGAGAGCTGGGGTGGAGGCCAAGTTGGTATAACCGAGGTTTTTCCACCCATGAGAAGGCCGAGCTGGGATCGGATCTCTATGAGTTCTTATAATACCCTGCCACTTTGCACAAACAGGATAGTTCTGCTTTCTCTGCTACCAGAGCCTGTTACGGAAGTGATCCTCCAGACTGAGGGTGGTTTCTGGCTTCAGGGAGAAGGAAGAATGTTGTGCTGTTCTCTTTCCTTGCGATTATGTTCACCTTGTGTTTCTGAGTCACTTCCCAGCCTTTTGGCTAAGCTCAGGTACCTTTCGTCTCTGGGTGTACTAGGGCGGTTATTGGAGGAGCAGGCGTGTATGCCAGAGCGTGGGCTGCCTGTACCCTGGGCGCTGAAGCCTTGGGCCGTCCTCCCTCAGCAGAGGGGCTCACCCTGAGCTGAGCGGTACACGCGGTGGTCAGAAGTAAGTCATGAGAAGCCACCCAGGCCAGAGACAAGCTACGGCAGGTGGCTGCTGAGAGCACCTGGCAGGCCTAGAGCAGGTCTGTGATGGAGATCCGTCGCCAAGCAGCCATGCTGACACCATTCTCTATCTTCTGTTCTCATCCTGTGCAGAATCCACACCGGCGATAGACCATATAAATGTGCACACCCAGGCTGTGAAAAAGCCTTCACACAGCTCTCCAATCTGCAGGTAAACGTTCCCCACTTTCCACCAGGACCAAGGTCTGAGGCTTGGAGTCAGGCCGCCCTGTGACTAGCACAGTGACTCTCAGAGGTTTCCTCATAGAAATTACTGAGGAACCCAAAGAGTTTTTTTGGTCTGTGGGTAACATAGGTGATGTGAAACAGAGACACTAAAAAGTGCTTAGTAATCCTTTGGAAAAGAATGGTATAGGGCTGGGGGTGTCGCTCAAAGTCAATGCTTTGGGTTTAATTCTAAGTACTATCAAAAAAATAAAGTATGAAGTGCAATTGAAATACTGAAGTTTTGAGGCCAGGGATTTAGCTCAGTGGCACGGTGCTTGCAAGGCAGGCGCAAGGTCCTAGTTCAATCCCTGGTACTGGAAAAAAAAAGTGCAGTGCCACTGAGCTACATCCCCCGCCCTTTGATATCTTTTAAATTTAAACATTTACCATATTTTTTAGTCACACGGTGGTGCTGGCACACACCTGTAATCCCAGCTACTCAGGAGGTAGAGGCAGGAAAATTTCAAGTTCTAGGCTAAGCCAGCCTGGGCAGTTTAACAAGATCCTGTCTCAGAATAAAACATTTGCCAGGCATGGTGGTGCACACCTGTAATCCCAGTACTCGGGAGGCTGAAGCAGGAGGATTGACATGAGTTCAAGGCCAGCCTGAAGTACATAATAAGATTCTGTCTCAAAAAAACAAAACAAACTAAAATAAATAAATATGTAATGTTAATGGGGTTCGGGCTGTACCTCAGTTGTGGGGCACTCTGGGTGGCTAATAGGAGTTTCAACCCTGTGGGCCTCTGAAATGGTCCTAGTGTTCCCTAGAGACCCCCACACCTCCCTTTGAGAGCCACTGTGCAGGCATCAGGGGTGAGCCCCATTCTTTGGGGATCCGGTGTGTGGCTGAGCCTCCTTCCTCACCTCTAGCTCCTTGACTTCCATCAAAGCCATTTCCACTGCTGTGGTTTTGTGCTTTAATTTTTTTTTTTTTTGGTGCCGGGGATCAAACTCAGGACCTTGTGCTTGAAAGGCAGGCACAGAGCCCCTGAGCTAAATCCCTGGCTCCACTGCTTTGGATTGAAAGCCAGTCTGGAGGCCTGAGGCTTACCTCGGCTCTCTTCGTAGGTCAGGGAGGGTAGAGGGGAGCGCAGCGCCCACTCATCTTTTCTCCTGCCTTTCACAGTCCCACAGACGGCAGCACAACAAAGATAAACCCTTCAAGTGCCACAACTGTCATCGGGCGTACACAGACGCTGCCTCGCTAGAGGTGCACTTATCCACACACACAGTGAAGCACGCCAAGGTGTACACCTGCACGATCTGCAGCCGGGCATACACGTCGGTGAGTCTGAGGTTTCCTCACATAGCCTGTTAGCGGCAGGTGCTGGGCCCCTTCTGGACAAGGATCTGTTAGCAGACGAGGTTCAGAGATAGAAATGATGAGGCCTGTGTCAGGGGAGTCCTGATCCCCATAGCTTGTGGTGAGTGATACGCAGTGATTTTTTTTTTTTTTTTTTGAGACCGGGTCTGGCTATGTAGTCCAGGCTGGCCTTGAACTCACTGTGTAGCCCAGGCTGGCTCAAACTCACTGCAGTCCTCCTGACTCAGCCTCCCCAGTGCTGAGATTACAGGTGTGCACCCCCATCCCCAGCTTTGATTCTTCATTTCGCTTAACCATGAGGCAAAATAAGACCACTTGAAATGTTTAGGGAGAAAGATTTTGAGTATTTTATATTAGACTTCAGAAAAAGGTCGTGAAGTTGCTCATTCAGACATTTGTGAGAAAAATGGCAGCTTTTCCCTGTGCCATTGACTGTCCACAGTGCCCTCTAAAGATAGCTGAGTCTTCGACAGATTGGTGAGCCTGAAAGCGCTACTTGGATTCTCCTTGCTCCCAACTCGGGACTCTCTTTGTAAATGCTCTCCATGTGACAAGGGTACGAGCCCAGGATGCTGATTACAAGTAAAGTCTCCTTCCCTTTCACGCCCAACTTCTTTCTACTATCTCTCTCAGGAAACGTACCTTATGAAACACATGCGCAAACACAACCCTCCTGATCTCCAGCAACAAGTACAGGCGGCAGCGGCAGCGGCAGCAGTGGCCCAGGCCCAGGCCCAGGCCCAGGTCTCCCAGGCTTCGCAGCAGCAACAGCAGCCACAGCCACCACACTTCCAGTCCCCCGGGGCAGCCCCCCAGGGAGGGGGCGGTGGGGATAGCAACCCCAACCCTCCGCCCCAGTGCTCCTTTGACCTGACCCCCTATAAGACAGCGGAGCATCACAAGGACATCTGCCTCACTGTCACCACCAGCACCATCCAGGTGGAACACCTGGCCAGCTCGTAGAGATCCATGCTGCTGCCCATGGGACGAGGAGAAGGAAGTTCCGGTGCCTTCTTTCTCTGACCCCTCTTGGTGGGCAAAGTCCTCTTCTTCCTGGACAAGCCTCGGTTCCGTGTGCTTGGGTCTCAGGCACAGCGCTCCTTCACAGCATACCATTGTTACTGTCAACTCCTCATCAGAAGGAACGTCACCTTCTGACTGGCAAAGGCACACCGAGCTGATGGTGTCCAGCAGCCCACCCAGCAGAGCCTTTCAAATCGGGGCTTGGTGCTCACGGGAAGGAGTCACTGTGACCTCACAGAAACTTGCCTGTACAGGGCACTTCACCTCTCCGTTCCTCCTCATCCAGAGCTCAAGGTGACAAGACTAGAAGCTCCTCTCCAGACGACAGAAGGGAGCCCTCGCAAGCTACCTTCTGTCCCGTGCTTGCCTTCAAAAGAACAGCGGTTTCTCGAGTGCCCAGCCGAGAGCCATCCTCTCCCTGTAGTCTCACTCCACTTCCTGCCCACTGCTGGCGGAAGGGGATTTGGGTGGGGATTAAGAGCTGTGATTGGCTGGGGCAAGGGCTGAGACATGGTCCCCAAGGGGCCAGAGTGTCTCCAGGTGGCTGGGCTGGCTTGGCGGTGTGGGTCCCTTCTCTGCCCACCCAGTCAGTCCCTGCCTCCACTCCCGGCCCAGCCCCAAGGAGCTGTGGAGGGTGTGTTCTCTGTGAGACCCCAGGACCAGGGTGTTGTGGACAAGGGAGAGTTCAGGGCAAACAGGAGGACGACGTAGCTCCCAAGGTGCCACGGTCAGATGCCGGACATGGATTTATATATAAATATATATATATATAAATATATATATATACCCACTCATCACGGCCATCTTTGTTGTAACCATTTCTGTGTTTATAAATGCATTATCTCTGAGAATTTTCATATTTGATGTCTTAATCTTATTTTTGTTTTTTTAAAAATCACCTTGTCTTCTGGCCACAGCATTTTTATTTCCTTTTGCCTTTTTTTTTAATCATAGCAGATTTCTGAGAAAACAAAGAATCAGGAAACAAGTTGTTATATAGCAATTCAAAAATGAAAAAAAAAAGAAAAACTTATGTACAAACCAAGGGGTGTTTTTAGAACATTGTATAGAAATAAACTGATGTAAAAGGGTCAGAGGCAGTGGGGCTGCTGATGTGAACAAACGTGGGAGAGCTGTCTGGTGTGTGCAGGACCCTAGCAGCTGCCAGTGAGGAACCAGTGGTGGTGCAGTGAGGACCGCCTGTGCTTCCACAGCTGCAGACGGGCATGGCTTGCTTCTCCTGAGTCCTGACCTCAGGGCTTCTGCACAGACTCACGGAGACTGCACTGCCCAGGCACGTGAGAGTAAGGCTGCGATGAAGTCTGAGCAAGGCAGCTGTGCCCCCATCAAAACCAAAGGGGACATACATGGCCCCCTGAAAGGGCCTTACTCCTGCCTCAGCATCCCAGGTACTTGGTATTAATTTCACTTGCCAGTCATGTCTTAATTACTTTTCTCGTTGCTGAGACAAAATATCCAGCAGGCACAAGTTAAGTGAGGAAAGGTTTATTTAGCTCACAGTTTGTAGAGGTTTCAGTCCATAATTGATTGGCTCCAAGGCAGGGTGGCTTGGCAGAGGAGCACTGCAGAGGAGAAACTGTTCATGGCAGGCAGACAGCAAAAGCAACAAGGGATCTGGAAACACCGTCTTTCTGCCCCTCTTATCCAGGCTACTTAGGGCTGGTAGCACTTGCACCCTTAGTCCTAGTGCCCTTGGGCCTAGCATTGCACCACGAATCAATTCCAGGCTGTCACAGTATATCTAGCCTACTCTTAAAAAGCCCCGCCTATGACTGCATGAGGCTTTGGAGGACGTCTATACACAGCCATAACAACACAAATGTATGTTTATTAGGCTGTGGCGCCTAAAACTAGAGGTTTACAGTGGTGGAAACCATAATTACTCAATGCACAATGTGAGACAAGCTGGGCATCATGGCTCATGTCTATAACCCCAGCACTCAGGAGGCTGGGTCAATAAGCTGATGAGTTAAAGGCCAGCCTGAATTACATAGATTTTAAAAATAAATTTGGAAACTCCCATGCCAAGTGTAGCATGGTGATGATCACATTCCCCTCCCACATCCAGGGCATCAGGAAACCGAGACTTGTTACCCTGGCTCTGCCATGACCATTATTGGCCATGCTGCTTCAGCTGTTAATGAGGGGTTAACATTCCCACTAGGGGTTCAGAGCTGACCACCAGCGAGAAAGGAATTACAGCCCCATTGTGAATGTGTTAACTACTAAGATTGCTTTGTGAAAATTAAAAACCTTTCTTGAGCACTGAAGAAGCTGTGACCAGGGTCACATACCTGAAAACCTGGTTTGCCTGGGACTGCTGGCCAAGAGTATTCAATACCCAGTGGGGACGGGTAAGTAATTCCTGCTTAACTAGGGCGAGGCAGTGATAGTGTGTCAGTGTGTAGTGTAACACTAACGAGTACATCACACGTGGCCAGATATGCAGTGTTGGCCTCCTCATCACCAGATTTGAACTGGAATCTCATTCATTGCTCAGAAAAGGAAAAGCATGGAGAAGAAATCAAGGGTGTGGCGCTTGAGATAGAATGAGATCTCCTAGTGTGCTGCTGCACCCTACTTAGCACCTGCTCACTAGGGAAGGACCCACCTTGCCCTTCTTTACCTAATGGATCTACACTGTATGACAAAGTCTGTCATAAGGAAAGCCTGCCATGTGACATCAATTATGAAGGATTATGAATTATGGGCAACACTTAGATCCAAGATACTACTGGCTTTTAATTTTTTTCCTAATGTGACAGCCTGTCATGCCCTTCCCTTTTATGGTGATGAAAAATGGTGTTGACTGCATTATAGACAGCTACCATAATGGCTGGCATCTAACTGGCCCAGTTGTAAAGGTCGGTGTCCCAGCCCCTTCATAATCATGACGTTAACATCACATATAAATCCAAATAAAAAGAGAATGTAAGGGGTAGGGGTACTCGGTGGTAGAGTGCTTGCCTAGCATGTGGCAGGTCCTGGGTTCTAACCCCAACACCAAGAAGAAAAAACAAAAACATGGCCTCCTTAAGAGAGGTAAGGGCAAGGTCAGAAGTTACGTTTTCATATATGACAGTGTAAAGCTCAGGAACTGACAAAAGTGCAGTGTTTTATAATTTTTGTACTTTTAAGGAGAAAGTTTTAAAATAATGACTGGTGTAGCTCAGTGGTAGAGGGCCTGCTTACTCCATGAAGCCCTGGGTTCAATCTCCAGCACCAAAATAATAATCTGTAAGAATGTTTGCATGAGTGAACAGAAATGCAAGAGGACTTAAATTTGCAAGGCCTGGTAACTCCTCTAAATCCGTAAACTAGCTGCCTTGGAGAAACTCTTGCTTCAGCCAGGACCTCCTCTGTCAACAGATTTATACTCTGCAAAAGGAAGTTGGAATCCCCAGTTGCTGAAAAGGGATATTTACGGAATACACTTCTAAAGTGAAACGTTTTCCCTCCTTTACCACACCTTCCCCTTTTGGAGGGAAAAAAAGTTTGTTAGAGAATGCAAAATGGCGACTGCCGTGACGTCATACCCGTCCTGGCGCGGACTGGAGTTTTAGTAAGGGCGGAAGCGCCGCTATAGCGGCCTCCCCATCAGCGGTCGTGAGTCCCCACGCCGAAGGAAAAGTTCAACCTCGGGCGGATATGTCCGGCTAGTTCTTTCCTCAGGGCGGAAGTGCTCTTTTTAAGGGCGGAAAGGACCTGAGCTAAGAATAGCTCCAGCTTCCGTCGTCCCAGTCACTTCCGGGGAGGATCGGAAGTTGCTTTGTTTTGCTTCAAGATGGCTGCTGGGATGTATTTGGAACATTATCTGGACAGTAAGAGCAGGCTGGAGGAGGGGGTCAGGGCTCACAGAGTGGTGGGCGACCGGGGCCGAGAGGATCTACGGCCTCGAAGTCCTTGGGGGTGAGAAGGTCCCAGTTAGGAAGTGGATGCGCGGGAGGAAATGTTGAGGGGTGCGAAGAAAGAGGGGGCGGGGCAGAAGGGCTGAGTCCCCGCTGCGGGGTGTAGAGGAGGGAGGGCCTGCGGGGGGCAGGGATTTGTCTCGAGGGGCTACCAGGCGTGGCAAGGAAATCTTTGCGACTTCTGCACCCGTGTCTTCTCTAACCTCGCGGTAGACTGTTTTTCCAAAAAAATCTTCCAGAATCGGTAGCACTCACTGACATTTGGAGCAGCGGCAAAGACCTGCTCGAGTATCCTGCAGCCAATTCTTTCTCAAGTGGCCTCTCTTGAGGGGGGACAGGTGGGGGCGAGGGACTGTTGTCAGATGATCGACTGAAAGGATCCAGTTCCCACCCAAGGGAAATCTGGGGTTATGTTTATGCTCTTTGTGTAACCCTCCCCTTCACAAAGCCTGTCACCCTGTGCGCTTAGGTATGTTTCATTGGAGAGACAGTCATTTATTTAACAGATACTTACTGAGGAACTGCTGATCAGACATAATGCAGGTACTAGGAATGTAATAAAACGAGTAAAGGGTTGGTGTTGTAGCTCAGTAGTGGTGTTTGCCTAGCATATTTAATGCCCTGGGTTTACTCCCCAGCTGCAGAGAGATGGGCAGACACACAGCCTCTGCCTTCAGGAAGCTCACAGTGTAACAGGAAACAGCGTGCAAATTAAGTAATTATCGAACAATAAAGCTGGGCCTGGTGGTCTTGCCTGTAATCCCAGCACTTGGGAGGCTGAGGCATGGGGATCGCCAAAGTTTGAGTCCAGCCTGGGCCACAGCAAAACCAAAAAAAAGGAGAATACAAGAAATATTAGGAACACATTAAAAGGACAGTTGGTAACCCTGGAGAGATGGGCTAAGTACTTGGGGCTGCAGGTTAATACAGACAAGGTGATTTTGTGTAGGTTCATGAAAGCTAAGCTCATTTGCCACTGCAGAGAAAGAAAGTGAACTCAGGGCTGAGGAAAGCAGCGCAGGTGTTGTGAAGGGTGTGTGGCAAAGTCAGGGAAATGAGGGCGGAGTGTTGATGGGTGTGATTTGAAGGTAAGCCATGGGGAGGCAGTGAGACCGGAAAAAGAGGCAGGGGCCAGACTGGACAAGGTGTTCTAAGGCAAGCCAGAGAGTGTGCATTTGAAAGTAGCTTGTGTCTTTCCTAAAGGGAGACGCTTGAATGGTAGTTCACAGCGTAATGTTATCATTTAGTGATGGCTGTCTGGTCCGAGATGACCTGACTCAGAAAGGGGAGCAACAAAAGTGTTTAGGAGTTAAATACGACAGTACCTACTAAGTAGTTCAGAGAAAGAAAAATCTAACGGGACTTTGTCCTGCTTGAAAAATGAGATAGACAGTGTACCATGAACGATAGGAAAGTCAGGATTGTTCACCATGTATTTTCATTCATTTTATACATAGGACTGGTAATGGAATGAGATCATTCAGAGAAAATAGAGAAGTTCAAGGCCAGCCTAAACTATGTAGTGAGACCTCATCTAAAAAAAAAAAAGAAAATGAAGCCCGCTGGGAGGCTGAGGCAGGAAGATTGCAAGTCTGAGCTCAGCCTAGGCAACTTAGCAATTTAGCAAGATCCTATTTCAAAATAAAAAGAGCTGGGGATGTAGCTCAGTGTGAAGGCCCTGGGTTCAGACCCTGGTACTGGGGAGAGAGACAGAGGAGAGATGAAGTGTAATTTCTAGAAAATATGAACATTTAAGGGACAGGCTAAGAAACTATCAATGTTGTGATTACCAGATCGGAACCCTAGGAGAAAGAGTTATCCTGAAGGGAAGTAGAGAGTACCTAGTACCGCTGAAGTGTTTTTAAGAGAGGACTAATAACATCATCTGATTTGGTAAATCACTGGTAATTTATACCTGTAAGTATACACATATCTATTTAGTTTTAAACATTGTACATATTATTCTTCATCTCTGATCTCTTAGAGCTCATTCTAGGGCTGGGGATTTAGCTCAGTGGTTCTGCCGCCTGCCTTGGAAGCACAAGGACCTGAGTTCGATCCCCAGTACCAAAAAAAAAAAAAAGAGCTCATTCTATATCACCATATATAATGTTTACCTCATTTTGGGGGGTACTGGGAATCGAACTCTGGACCTTGTGTTTGCAAGGCAGCCGAAGCCATGGTGCCACTGAGCTAAATCCCTGGCCCTAATCACTGGTAATTTAAAATAATCTCTGAACTGGTGGTGGTGGACCGAGATAAATTTAAACATTTAAAAAGTTTGAAGTGGAGACTGGGGATTTAGCTCAGTGGTGCTTCCGCCTGCCTCGAAAGTGCGAGGTTCCGACTTTGATCCCCGGTTCCAAAAAACAAAGTGTGAAGTGGAGTTGGAGGAAGAGATTTCTCTTGTATGGATTAGACTTTGTGCCTTTGCTTGTATTCACTGAGTCCCTGCTGTATGCAAGTCAGGACTGCTAAGCACGAGGGAGCAGGACAGAACAAAGTGGATGTTGTAGGCCTCCTGGAGAGCTAGGAAAGAGGCACCAGCTAAGTAATTAAGGAAAGAAGAGTAGACCTGGGCACAGTGGTGCACACTTGAAATCTCAGCTGCCCTGGGCTGAGCCGGGAGGATGGAGAATTTGACATCAGCCTGAGCAATTTAGTGAGATCCTGTCCAAAACTGTTAAAAGGGTGAGGATGAAGCTCCCTGGCAGGGCACTTACCCAGCATGCACAAAGCCATGGGTTCTAATTCCTGGTACTACTGAAAGAGAATAAAAAGAGAATGCTGTGATAGCCTGTACATACAGTACTTGGCAGGGTCTGGGAAGGTCACATTTGCACCGGTATCTGTTACTTACTCATTTATTATTTTTCAGTACTGGGGATTGAACCCAAGTCTTCACACTGAGCCCTTTTTTAATTTTTCATTTAGGGCCTCAGTAAGTTACTAAATTGTCCAGGCTGGGCATGAATTTGTGATCCTCCTGCCTCAGCCTCCCAGAGTGCTAGGATCACAGGCATGCGCCACTGCACCTGGCTTGAGCTGAACTCTGAAGAATGAACGAGACTAGCAGGCCAGGAGGTACTCCAGCATGGGGTATGGAAGGCCAGGTTCCAGGCAGAGAGCAACATCAAGGCATTTGGGGCCCTCAGAAAGCCAATGGGGTGAGATTCGAAGGGAGCCCCCCTTGAGCTAGGGCAGGCATTGCAGAGCTCCTGCTGGCAGTGAGGTGGTGGGGAGCTGTGAGCAGGAGAGGGACTCAGCCGCATTGGCTCTTCTTTTTGTGAGACAGTTTGCGAAGTTGCTAGGAATGCCTTCAAGCTCTCCACCCTCTTGCTTTAGCCTGGGGGTCGCTGGGATTACTTTACTCTTCCTGCTCGCCCAGGGCTGGGGATTGATCCCCACCTGGGCCTTCACATTAAGCTCCAGCCCGGGCCCTTTTTTTTTTTGAGACAGGGTCTCACTCTGTAGTCCAGGCCTTGAACTCACTATGTAGCCCAAGCTGGCCTCGGATTCACAGTGATCCTCCTCAGCCTCCTTGGTGCTGGGAGTGCAGGAATGCACCACCATGCCCAACATTAGGTTTTTTTGTTTTGTTTTGTTTTTTGGTACCGGGGATCGAACTCAGGTCCTTGCCGCTTGTGCAGCAGGCAGCCAAAACCACTGAGCTAAATCCCCGGCCCAGGTTTGTTTTTTTTTTGAGACAGGGTCTGGCTATGTAGTCCAGGCTGACCTTAAACTTATGGCAGTCCTCCTGCCTCAGCCTCCCAGAGCACTCAGACTACAAGTATGCACCGCATATCCGGCCAGTCTGGCATTATAAGTTGAGGGCTGAGAACACAGAGGCAGTGACTGAAACCAAAGGAAAGGGAAAGGCTGAGGAAGGGCTTGGAAGGGGACAGCAGTGGATACTTTTGCAGAGGTGAAGTTAGTTGTGGGGGGGAGAGAAGCAGACACAGCCTCCTGTGAGAAAGGTGTCATTGCTGTCACAAATCAGGAGGTTCAACTGAGGGAAAGTGGAGCTGCACTTGACAACCTTGCAGGCCAGGTGTGGCACACGCGTGTAAACCAGCACTTGGAGGCTGAGGCAGGAGAACCTCAAGATTGAGGGCAACTTAGCAACTTGGCAAAACCTTGTCTCCTCAAAAAGGGCTGGGGATTAGCTCAGTGCAGAGGCCCTGTATTCAATCTCAGTACTTAAACAAAAGTAAATTCAGGGATTGGAGTATGAATCAGTGTGAACGCTCGCCAAGGCTGTGCGTAGTACAGATTCTCAGTTTCCTCTCTTCCCTAGGTATTGAAAACCTCCCCTTTGAATTGCAGAGAAACTTTCAGCTCATGAGGGACCTGGACCAAAGAACAGAGGGTATGTACCGAGAGGGTTTTCATGTAAAAGGAGACGCATGACCACTTGTTCCTCTGCCTGCTAGGACTGTATCATCTGGCATGATCTGAAGAATTGTGGCTTTTAAATTTTATTTTATTTTTATTTTTTATTTTTGGTACTGGGGATCGAACTCAGGTCCTTGTGCTTGTGAGGCAAGCAGCAGAACCACTGAGCTAAATCCCTGGCCTTGTGGCTTTTTTATTCTCTTGCAATTCCTTGCTTTCTTTTTTTGTCTTGTACTTCTTTAAAACTGTTTTATTCTCTTGCAATTCTTGAGAGAGTATTGACTGCCCTCACTTTTGCATCAGCTTTTTTCTAACAAATGGAGGATTGATAAGGTGCCTCAAGAATTCAAAAGCTATTCTAGGCATGATGTGTACATGCTTGAAATTCCAGTGGCTCAGGAGGCTAAGGCAGGAGGATTTCAAATTTGACCCCACCCTGAACTACATAGTGAGTTCAAGGCCAGCCTGGACTGTAGAGTGAGACCCTGACTCAAAAAGACACAAATAAATAAATTATAAGAGGACTGGAGATATAGCTCAGTCCCTGAGCATGCACAAAGCCCTGAGTTCAATCCTAGCACTGCAGAAAAAGCAGAGATGCTGTGGTCTTTGTGCTTCCCTCAAGAACAGTTTAAGAAGCTGGGTGATGTAGCTCAGGCCTCTAATCCCAGCACTCAGGGGGCTGAGGCAGGAGGATCCCCACAACTCACAAGTTTGAGGCCTGCCTGGACTGTATAGCGAGACTCTGTCTCAAAAAAAAAAGAAAAAGAAAAGGAATAAAAGAAACCAAATGTGACTCGAGCCATTTCTGATGTTCATGTTTGATATATCCATGGGATAACTCGAGTGCTGCTGCCTCCGTGCTTAACATTACCGTCACAAAATTAGAGTTTCAGCTTTAGACTGCAGTTCATGTTGGCAGACAGGAGGTGTGCACATGAGACGTTACTGAAAAGGGAAGAAAGACTAGAGGAAGACTAAAGAGAAAAAGGGGGCAGTTAACACCAGTACCTTACGCAATATTCTTCAGCCTGAGAAACAGTCTTTGGTGCAGGAGGGAGGCCGCTGCCAGCCCCGTGTCGGGCTCCAGGGTGCGCTGGGTGAGCATCCCACAGCCCAGAGGCCTAAGTTCACTCAGGAGGAGAGCCCAGCACTCCACATCCTGGCCTTTTTACAAAATAGCTTTTATTTGTTGTACGTCTGTTCCCAGGACTGGAGAGGTCCATCCTCAGCCAGCACCCTGTCCCTCAATGAGAGGGTCTCACTAGTTCCCTATGCAGTACTTTACTTTCCGATCTTCCCACCTCAGCCTCCCATGGTGCTGGGATCACAGGTGTGTACTGCCATACCTGGCTTTTATTTTATTTATTTTTGATGGCACTAAGGATTGAACCCAGGGAGCCCTGTGCTACATACATCTCAGCTCTTTTTATTTTCTATTTTCTAATTTTGAGGCAGGGTCTCACTGAGTTGCCTAGGCCAGCCTTGAACTTGGGATCCGTCAGCCTTAGTCCTCCAAGTAGCTGGGGTCACAGGTGTGTAACACCACACCCAGCTCAGTTCAAACTCTGCAGTCCTTGCAGAGACCAGCTGGGAGCGACAAGTTACGTGCTTTTTTGGCTTCTTCCAAAGGCCTGGAGGGAAGCCTGTCTCTGACCTTGCTCGTCCCAGTCCTTCCTGCTAGCCGCTGCCTTGCCCTGTTCGAGTTGGCCTCTTGCCTTTGACATTTCCATGAGCCCTAGCAGACACGAGGGGGTGGTCGGCCACAATCAGAGTCCGGCCTTCGAGAACTAAACTGCTGGAAGCAGTGTGCCAGGTGAACAGTGTGAAAATGAGGAACACAGAAGCCAGTCACAGATGAGGAACAACAGGGCTAAATCGTGAGGCCTGAGAGCAGAGCAGAGCAGCAGATGACCGGCCCGGTCCGCAGCAGGCAGAGCTGCAGTGGGATGTTTTGAAGACAAGAAACAAGATGGCTTTGGAGGCAAAATCGATCGGTCTAGAAGCTCGAGTCCTGCAAAGAAGCATCTTCAGAGGTTACCTGAAACGTGCTTCCTGTCCCCGGGGTGTGCAGAGTCCACCGTGTGTGGCAGCAACTAAGTTCTGACTGTTTGCAGCACCCTCAGGCACCTTTAAAACACCAGTGTCAATGTGCTGCCTTTCTTGAGTGCGTGGCCTGGTACCTGTGCATGCTTGGGACGTTTTAGTGCAAAGGCTGTGGTCGTCTACAGGAAAGGTCCGCGGAGCAACAGGAGGGAGCCTGTCTCGTCTGGCCACCCTCTGCCAATGTGACCAGGCCTCTGTCTCTTGTAGACCTGAAGGCTGAAATTGACAAGTTGGCCACCGAGTACATGAGCAGCGCCCGCAGCCTGAGCTCCGAGGAAAAGCTGGCCCTGCTCAGGCAGATCCAGGAGGCCTACGGCAAGTGCAAGGAGTTCGGTGATGACAAGGTGCAGCTGGCCATGCAGACCTATGAGATGGTACGGCCTGCCCTTGGCACCCCTCACCCACCTCTCAGGCCTCCTCCCCTCCTTCAGCTGTGTTGGGATCCAGTGGGTCTGGGAGATCTAGGCTCCGCCCGCCTCGCCTGCCTGCTGTGGGGACTGGGAGCCGGCCCTCACCTCTGCCTTCTCCCCCCAGGTGGACAAGCACATTCGGCGGCTGGACACAGACCTGGCCCGTTTCGAGGCGGATCTGAAGGAGAAGCAGATCGAGTCCAGCGACTATGACAGCTCTTCTAGCAAAGGCAAAAAGAGTGAGGAGGGGGGCGGGAGCCAGTGGGCGGAGCTTCCAGCCCGGGCCGTGCGTGCGTGCGTGCGGACCTGGCTGGACGGGGAGGAGCCCTAACCCAGCCTCCTGTCTCCGCCGCCTGGCGCCCCCTCTTCCCTAGAAGGCCGGACTCAGAAGGAGAAGAAGGCGGCGCGGGCTCGCTCCAAAGGCAAAAACTCGGACGAGGAAGCCCCCAAGGCCACCCAGAAAAAGTTGAAGCTCGTGCGCACGTGAGTGCGTCCACGGGCGTCCTCCCTGCACAGTCCCACCCTTGTCTCCTGACCCTTGGTCTCTGCTGGACAGAAGAGGTCACAGCCGCAGGACCCCTGCCACCTGTGAGCGCCTCCTCCCACGGCTCCGGCCTGCCATCACGCGCTCTCTCCCTTGGCGCAGGAGTCCCGAGTACGGGATGCCCTCGGTGACCTTCGGCAGCGTCCACCCCTCGGATGTGCTGGACATGCCTGTGGACCCCAACGAGCCCACCTACTGCCTTTGCCACCAGGTCTCCTACGGGGAGATGATCGGCTGCGACAACCCCGATGTGAGCACCCTTTTGACTCGGGGAGGGCTTTGGGGGGACCCGAGGGAGTGGGTGTAAAGTGGAGTGGCCACGGCTGAAGGGCAGGACGTGAGAAGGGCAGGGCATGCGCCTCTGTGCTGTACCCAGGGAAACTGAGGCAGGAAGATGACTTGTGCCCACCAGATCTTGAGTTTGGGGCCGGCTGGGCAGCGTGGTGAGCTCCCATGTGCAGAAGGGAGAAGGGATGGTGGTTGGAGCGTGGCCGTGGGTGCGCGCAGAAGTCTCGGGGCGGGGCGGGGGGAGCAAAGGCGCCCGCAGCGCCTGCGCCAGCTGCCCCTCCTCCGGCACCCACCAGGCCCCCGACCGACCGCCGTGTCTGTCCTCTTCCTTCCCAGTGCTCCATTGAGTGGTTCCACTTCGCCTGTGTGGGGCTGACGACCAAGCCGCGGGGGAAATGGTGAGCAGCAATTTTGCGGGCGCTGAGCGGCAGAGGGCGCCGTCCCCTCAGAGTTTCCGCCCTCTGCTCACTCTGCATCTTGTCCTTCATCTTGCTTCCTAGGTTCTGTCCACGCTGCTCCCAAGATCGGAAGAAGAAGTAGACGCAGGCCTTGGGTTCTCAGTTTCTTCTGCATTCCCTGACCTGGGCTGGTGGCAGAGGAGTGTACCGGGCCAGGGGCCGGGGAGAAGCGGGCGGTGCGGTGCCGTCACCCCCTTCGGCCCGCTTGGTCCCCACCCGGTGCCACGGAAGGGAGGGTGCCGGGCCACGATGGTTTGTGCCCTCTTCCGGCCAGCCCTGGGCACAGCCTTGCCCGCTGCCCTTGTGCCTCGTGCTGAGGTTGGTGCTGTACTTCAGAGGGCGAGTCCTCGCGCTCCCCCTACGTGGGACTTAGGCTGGGGCAGTGGTCCTGGGAGCTCCCTGCCCTGCCCTCTTTCCTTATTCTTCTGTTTCCCTTGGGGAGGGACCCCCAGATCATGGGCCGAAGGGACCCCGAGGGGATTCATCCTGGCTTCAGGAATGGGAGAAGGGATGCGAAATGCATATGACTCCCATGTAAAGGAGTTTGGTAGGTAAATAAAAGCTCCAAGTCGGCCTGCTGTGTTTCCTGTAGACTTTCATGGAGCCTGCTTGGCGGCGCTGTGCTGGCCTCCGCCTCCGCGTCCGTGGGGTGGGCGAGGGCGCGCCTCGGTCGGGGCTTGGTCAGCTCTGTATTTCCCCCACTAGGCGTCTCCCGCTTTCCAGGAAATGCCGAGCCTGCCCTATGCGCACCTGCTAAATACTGCTTTACTCTTGTATTTGAAGCAAGAAATAAATAGCGTATTCCCCACGACTCCATAGACTGGCCTGCTTGCCTCCCCCTAAGAACCACTCGGGGACGCCAAGTACTGCCCTGTCACTACCCTCCGTGGTGGTTAGTCCAGGGAGTAGCCAGCCTAGCCCGCTGCGGGGACCTTTACAGGTTTGTGCAGCTCGCTGGCGTGTTCTGGTTGGACAACACTGGGTTTAGGAGACATGGGCCAAGGTGATTGGGGAGAAGGGAAAAGCGGATGAGGGTGATTGGTTGAGTCAATTTCTGCTTTTCTAAGTTTGTTTTTCTGAATGGTCAAAGCTGAGCTACATTCTGCTTTCCTCTCAGAAATTATGTGGCCTGGCCGCCCAGAAAGCAGTGCTGTGTTTTCTCCTCCGTTTCCCTTCTGGCCCCTTTCTCAGCCGAGACGTCTCTAGCTCCTGCCCGAAGGGGCTCTGCCTCGGTTTTGGGGGTTTGAGTTTTGGGTTTTGGGTTTTCTTTGTACCGGGATCTAACTGGGGACCTTGCTCTTGCAAGGCAGGCGGCCGAACTATTGAGCTAAATCCCTGGCCCTTTTTTGTTTTTTGAGATAAGAATCTTGCTACGCAGTTCAGGCTGATAGCAAACTCTTGGAGATCCTCCTGCCTCAACCTCCTGAGTGTTGGGATGACAGGCATGTGCTCGGCCTCTGCCTCTGTTTTGTGCCTTGCGCCTCCTGCTGCCCCGGAACCCCAGAACCCAGCCTGTGCTCCCATTCGGGGCTCCGTCCCCTGGGGGAGGCCCCTGAGGCGGGTCCCCGCCCTTCCCCCCTCTGTGACGTGAGCGGCGCCTGTGCGTGCTCCTGTCCGCGCTCGCTCGGCCCCTCACTCGGCCGTTAGAGGCCCTGATCTCTGGGGACATGGGACAGCCATTGGCAGGCTCCTTTATGTCACTGCTGAGGGGTAAGAGACTGCTCTTGCTCCTCGAGCGCCGTGCCCCGGCCTGGAGAGCCCCCAAATGATTTCCGAGGCCTCTCACTGGTGATCGTGATGGCTCTGCCCCCGCTCCTGGGGTCCCCACGGTCTCCCCCGGGTCCCAGCAGCCCCTCAGCCCCCTAAGCGGTCCACCCAGGACCCCCCGCCCGCCCCTCGCCTCCCCTCCCCTCCGCCGCACACTTCCGCAGGGCTCCGGCTCGGCCTAGCCGGGTCTGTCTGGGGCCGGCGCGGGTGGGGTGCGGTTGGGGCGCGCCTTCCACTGTCCGATCCCCTCCGCAGTCCTGCTCCTGCCTCTGGGAGCCCTTCTCGCGCAGGAGTCACCCTCGGCCCCGACTCCGGGCAGCTCCCTCTCCCCCACCGAGTACGAGTGCTTCTTCGCTCTGCTGACCCCCATCTGGAAGGCGGAGACTACCTGCCTGCTGCGCGCCACACGGCTGCTGGAACCCCACCGTCGTCCAGCTGGACCAGTACGAGAACCACGGCCTGGTGGACCACGGCCTGGTTCCCGAAGGTGAGTGCCCGCGCGGCCCGGCCCGTCCTCCCCCGCTCTGCCCCGCTCTCCCCCGCCCAGCCCGCCCTCCCTCGCTCTCCCCCGCCCAGCCCAGGCGCCGGTTCACCCCTGCCTTCCCCAGGCGCCCTCTGCTCCGACCTCCCCTAGGCCTCCTGGTTCGAGTCCTTCTGCCAGTTCACTCAGTATCGCTGCTCCAACCACGTCTACTAATGCCAAGGTGAGCTCCACTCCGGAGCAGCCTGATCTGGGGACGCTGGGCCAAGGGCGAGGGGACGGCCGTGGGGGGCTCAGCACTCCTGCCCTCCGGCCTCACAAACCGTGACACCTCGGCCACGGGCGGGGAGGGCTCTCCCTATTGTTTCTTCTGACAGCCCAGGGGTTTTATTCCAGTCAGATGCTGAGCAGCAGAGCCCAGGCAGCCCGGAGAAACAGAGGGTCTCCTGGGCCCTTTGTCAGGGGGAGGCTCCCCTCAGGGCAGGACCCTGGGCCTTTATCCCTGCCCGGAAGTCCCTGAGCAGGAGCCGCCTGCCCTTTGGGGAAGGCATCCCCCTCTCTCCCTGCAGAGGGTCAGGTGCTCCCAGCCCTTCTCCATCCTGTCAGTGGACAATTTCAAGGAGCTGGAGTCTGTGGCAGAGGGCCCCCACGCCTCGGTGCCCTCACCCGCCACACCCAACGCCAAAGGTGAGCCCTCCCTGAGCCTGGGGGTGGGGAGACAGCTCTGCTGAGGGATGCAGCTTAGGGCTCTCCTCTCCCTTTTTTAAATTTTTTGAGACAGGGTCTGGCTAAGTCACCAAATTGTCCAGTCTGGACTTGAAAGTGGTGTTCTCCTGCCGGTGCCTCCCAGAGTGCTGAGATTATAGGCATGTACCACCACACCTACCTTCTAATATCTCAGTGTTTTGCGGGGGGGGGGGGGGTTTGCTACCGGGAATCAAACTCGGGACCTTGTGCTTGCAAAGCAGGTGGTGGCACCACTGAGCTAAATCTCCTGCCCTGTATCTCCGTGTTTTGAAGCACTGATGCCAGTGGAGCTGGGTGCACTCCATGTGTTTGGGTGCACCAGGCCCTGGGTTCGATTCCCAGCCCCACCTCCAGGCTAGCTGTTTAGAATACTTGATGGTCCCCAAGGCTGGGGCAGAGGGGGGCACTGGTGTGAGTTAAGGAAGAGGAGCTCTGGGCTGGGGATTTAGCTCAGTGGTTCCAGCACCTGCCTCACAAGTGCAAGGTCCTGAGTTTGATCCCCAGTACCAAAAAAAAAGAAGAGCTCTACAAAGAAAGTGGGAAGGGACCCACTGCTGCATTTGCCTTGGTAACGGTCCTTTATTTTGCTATCACATGCGTTTCTTTTCCTTTTTGTTTTTAATACACTTATTCTCTCCTCTCTCCCCCTCCCCTACCCTGTAGCCACAGAGTGGCAGGCATTCCAGGCCTGGCCCGAGGGGCTTAACAGCAACGTGGAGGAGCTGCTGCAGTCCTCCTTGTCGATAGGAGGCCAGGAGCAAGCGGCCAGCAAGCAGGAAGAAGCTCAGGAGCAGCACAAGAAGGAGCCAACACAGGAGCACAAGCAGGAGGAAGGAAAGGAGCAGGAGGAACAGGAGGAGGAGCAAGAGGAGGAGGGAAAGCAGGAAGAGGGGCCGGGGTGGAGGAGAGCTTGGGCACAGTGGCCAGCCTGCACGTGGGCTCCGAGCCCCAGCCCCAGCTCAAGTCTTTGTCTTCTGGTCCTCGCTCCTTCGCTGCCCGGGTCCGAGAGGTGGGCTCAGCTCCTCTGATGATAGAGAACATCCAGGAGCTCATCTGCGAGGCCCAGGAAATGGAGGAAATGTATGATGAGGACACCTACTGGAGGAGCCAGAACCACAGCAGGTACGGGAGGGCATGACCCCCTGGGCCCTGCCATCCCTGCTGCCTTCTCTGGAAGTGAGAAGCCCACATTCCCACTCAGACCCGCTTGGGCTGCTGTGCTCTTCTTCCCTGTGCCCGCTTGGCCGAAGCCCTGTGCGGAAGGAAGCCTGGGTGACCATCCTCTAGGTGATATGGTGCAGTGAGGGCTCAGGTCTTCACATTGCAGCCTCAGAGAACATTTCTCCTTTCAGGATCTCAGTTCCTCATTTGCGTTTGTTTGCTCCTTTGTTTGTTTGTTTGTTGAGACAGGGTATCACTATGGAGTCCAGGCTGGCCTTGAACTCACTATGTAGCGAAGGCTGGCCTCAAACTCATGCTGATCCTCCTGCCTCAGCCTCCACAGTGCTGGGATTACAAGTGTGCACCACCATGCCCAGCTCTTCAGTTGCTGATCTGCAAGAGGAGCAAGCTAGTACAGGGGTTCTCTGGCCCGTGATAAGGGTCCTGAGTGTGTGTGACCAGGAGCAGCTGTGCGGGGCACAGGGAGATGGATGTCGCTTCCCGCCTCAGCTCCCAGCCCATGCACACCAGTACTGTTGTTTGCAGCCTCCTGCAGCTGCCTCACAAGGAGGCCCTGCTGGTGCTGTCCTATTCCATTGTGATGAACAGCTGCATCCTCACCCCCACGGCCAAGGCCTGGAGGCACCTGGAGGAGGAGACCTTTGGCTTCGGGAAGTTGGTAAGCCCGCTGGCCTTTCAGAGAGTATGGCCTTTCAGAGAGTACGTGTGAGGCTCAGGCGGAGAGGCTCTGTCCAGGTAGGGCTCCCTTCTCTGGAAGAACCTCTCCCCGAATTAGAGGAAGAAGGCTCCACACTGAATTTGGCATCCAGTCCAGTGGTCCTTCTCAGCCCCTAGCTGTGTCCGAGGTGCAGCTCCCCCAGACTCAGCATCTGCTGCCCCCAGCAAGTTGATTGTGACTTTGAGCTGAGTCTCACTGGGCTACCCAGGCTGCTGCCTCTGGAACTCCTGGGCTCAAGTGATCTTCTGGCATCAGCCTTCTGAGTAGCTGGGACTACACATGTGCACCCCCATGCCTGGCTCCTAAGTTTTAAATAATACAGATTAGCAGATATTTGTGGAGAGCTGGTATGCCGACTGGCATCCATTTGTCCACAAATCTGTGGGGCACCAGCTCCCTCCTAGGTACTTGAGTTGCTACCAGCATATGCAGTAGACTCAGCCCTACCAGGACTCAGTCAGGAGAGAAGAGGAGCAGGCCGAGCAGGGTGAGAAGATGGGTGCTCAGAGGCGCATAGGTAGGAGGTGCAGAGAGACAGATGGAGGGGTGAAGAGGACAGCGTGCCACTCTCAGGAAGATCACAGGAGGCTTCACAGAGGAGCGGAAACTGAAGGAAGGAGTTAACAGGCAGACTAAGGGCCTGGTGGGAGATTCCTGGTAGTGGAAAGGCCCTGATACAAGAACGTGTAAAAATTTCATGGAGTGATCCTCCTGCTTCTGCCTCTTGAGTGCTTGGATTATAGGCATACACCACCATGTCCAGTAGATTTGGGTTTTCAGGGGCCAGGGATTTAGCTCAGCGGTTCTGCCGCCTGCCTGGCAAGCACAAGGTCCCAAGTTCGATTCCTGGTACAAAAAAAAAAAGGATTTGGGTTTTTAAACTAGGTGCTTGGCAGGACATAAGCTTTAGATTTTGAAGGACCTGGATCTACATCCCAAGTTCACATATTTTTTTCCCCAATACTGGGGATTGAACCCAGGGCCTCACTCATGTGAGACAAGCACTCTGCCACTAAGCTACATTCCCTGCCCTTAAAAAAAAATTTTTTTTCCAGTATCGGGGATTGAACCTAGGACCTTATGCTTGCCAGCCAAGTGCTGGCACCACTGAGCTAAATCCCTGGCCCTTAAAATTTTTATCCTGGGCTGGGGATTTAGCTCAGTGGTACTACACATGCCTAGCAAGTGCTAGCTCCTGAGTTCGGTCCCCAGTACTGCAAAAAAATAAAATTTTATCTTGAGACAAGTCTTGTTAAGCTGCCCAAGGTGGCCTCAGACTGGACCCTCCTGCCTTGCCCCCAACTATACCTATTAGGCTTGTTGGTTTGAACAATGCACTCACCCTCACCGTGCCTCAGTCTCCTTATCAGTGTTGACTGGGGATATTAGCAATACTTCTGCCATGCCAGCGTTCTTTTGTTTACAAATTTTTTTTCCTTGGTACCAGGGATCGAACTTGCAACCTTGCGCTTGCGAGGTAGGTGCCAGAACCACTGAGCTAAATCCCCAGTGTGACAGGGTTCTTGAGAAGACCAGATGAGACAAGAGTGGATGGCCATAATGCCAGAAGTTTGCCACCTCCATAAATATTAGCATTAGGGCCAGAGATTTAGCTCAGTGGTGCTGCCGCCTGCCTCACAAGCACAAGGTCCTGAGTTTAATCCCCGGTACCAAAAATAAATAAATAAATAAATAAATATTAGCATTAGCAGAGAAGGGAAGAGCGCCAGGAGTTCTTTCAGACGGGCTCTTAGAGGCAACCACAGAGCATCCAATCCTAGCTCTCTGTCAGGTCCTTGGCAATAAGGTGATAGGTTTGGGTGTCACCTTCAGAGAGATGAAGACTGCTGAGGAATAGACAAAACAACCAGGAAGAGGGTGGAGAAGGAGCTAAGGCTAGGTCCTTGGGGACTCCTCTGAGAGGGGAGGCAGGAGGCAGGCAAGCCTGAGGAAAGCCCCAGAGGAGCCTTAGCACAGCAACACTGAGGGCTCCGGGAGGCTAAGGCACAGGTGGGCACAGGCCTGAGTCCCAGCCTCAGCCTCACCCATGCTCCTGGCCCAGGTCTGTGACAACCTTGGACGGCGACACATGGGTCTCTGTCCCCTGTGTGCCTTCTGCTCTCTGAAGCTGGAGCAGTGCCACTCGGAGGCCAACCTGCAGTGGCAGCAGTGTGACACGTCCCACAAGACACCCTTCATCAGCTCCCTGCTCACGGCCCAGACCATGTCCATGGGCACCCAGGTACTCGTGTGGTGGCCCGAGACAGGGAAAGGCTGGGAGGCCTACAGGGGGCAGGGCATGCATGTCTTCCCATCCCCTCCCTGTGCCACAGGTGGAGACCTCGGAATCAGACTGCTTTTATGGGTTGGATCTGTATGGCAGGCTCCACATGGACTTCTGGTGTGCCCGGCTGGCCACAAAGGGCTGTGAAGACATCCGGGTCTCCAGCTGGCTCCAGACTGAGTTCCTCAGCTTCCACAATGGGGATTTCCCCACCAAGGTGAGGCCCTTTCCCAATCTCAGTGCCCAGGCTTGTTGGGTGAGTTCAAAGGTGTGGAAGGGGGCTTGGCTCCCCCCAGTGCCTCCTGCCTCTTGCTGTCAGGCACTGCACACCCTCTGCCCATAAAGCAGGCTGTGATTTGGCAAAGCATCAGGCCCGGGAGAGAAAGCTCGGGGTTGAAGGTGGGAGACAAACCATTCTGTCCCAGCACTGATTGGCTTCAGTCCAGTCACTTCCCTCTCTGTGCCAGTTACACTCTTCTCTGCAATCAAATGAATAATCCCAGGTATGTGGGAGGGTAAGGAAATCCAATTGCAAGTTTATAGTTAGCCTGAGCAATATAAGTGAGACCTTGTATCAAAATAAAATGTAAAAAATAAAATAAAATGTAAAAGCCAGGCTTGGTGGTGCATGCCTGTCATCCCAGTACTCAGGGGGCTGATGCAGGAGTATCACCTTGACTTTGAGGCCAGCCTGGGCTACATAGTGAAACCTTGTCTCAAAACGCAGTCAAGGCCGGGGATTTTTTTTTGGTACTGGGGATCAAACTCGGGTCCTTGCGCTTGTAGGGCAGGTGGCAAAACCACTGAGCTAAATCCCCGGCCCCAGGAGTTCTATCCCCAATACTGAAAAAACAAAACAAAACAAAACAAGTGGACTTCTGGGAAGATGGCAGAGTGGTAAATGAAAGAGAAACAGCCTCTCTGAGATTTGGTTTCCAGACATTGGAATGTAGCAAAATGAGGAAGAAAAGGAGGAGGGAAGTGGGTCCCCAGGACCCAGCAAGGATCTGAAGTGAGAACTGACGCTCAAGGGGAGAGCAAAGAGAGACTTAAACACAGAAGAAAGAGGTGGCACGAGGAGCATTCTCCCTGAGCCCTGACTCACTGCATGGGAACAGCAGCTCAAACCTGCAAACACGGATGACTACTGGTGACCCCAGAGGCCTCCATGGAGAAACACACCAGTGAAACAGGGCACAGCAGACTGCAGTGCCTGGTGAGTTATTCAGGTTCAGACATCCCCCAGGAGAGGGTGGCCAGCTAGTAACCCATCTTGGAGAGGGCCCAACTGAGCTTGGAACTCAGAGCAGCTTCAGACTGGCTCCATCAGAGTGAGAGAGAACCAAGTTCAAGCCAGCAGGAGGCACATGGAGTGTTGCAGGCTGAACAAATCAGGTTCCAGCCACACAGCCGGAAACCAGCCTGAGCTTCAGAACTAAAGGGGCAAGGTTGCTGGGATTATCCACTACCTTGCCATAATCTTCGGCTAGCTTCTTGGGATTAATCAACATAAATCTGGGCTCTGTCTTCCCACTTTGTCTAGCAGTGACAGCAGGGACATGCCTTGAAGTAGATGTTTTTTCTTGTTTTTGTTCTGTTTTCTTTTTTCTTGATTGTTTGATCTTGTTTTTACATAAGTGTGAATATTGTTTCTAGTTTTTTTTTCTTGTTCTGTTCTGTTCATGTATTTATTTCTTCCTTCTTTCCCACCTGTCTTCTTTTGCATAAACTTCCTTTGTCCTCCAGATTTGCTTTTTTTTTTTTTTTTGTACTGGGGATGGAACTTGGGATCTTGTGCTTGCAAGGCAGGCAGTGGCACCACTGAGCTAAATCCCCGGCCCCAGCTTTGCTTTTAATCTCTTCTTCTATTTCTCTATTTTTCCCCCTAATGCCTTTTAAATTTTCTCCCTGAGGGTAAAATCACCATACTGAGGGGATATTTATTGTATATGATTTTCTTGTTGGTATTAGACTTTGTTATGTAACCATAAATCTAGTTCATAAAGCTAAAAGTGTCAAGTTAATAGGTACCACAGTTTGTCGTTTTCTGGGCTGTGTTTGATGCTATTATTGCTGATTGTACTACTTTAGCCAACGTGACATAATGGTTCTAATCAGTTGTTCTTCCTGGTACGCCAAAACTGAGATTGCCTAAGGGTTGTAAATAATACTATAGGCCAGGGTCAAAGAACCGAGGACTAGACAAATAGGCAGCAACCTCTCATGCCTAATAAATTGAAGAGATAGGATCTTGCAATAGACTCAAAACCCAAAAGCTAGCTACACCTGGAAGACATCTCTGAGAAGTAGTCATTTCCTAAGGGTTCTAAATACTAGCAATAAAGCCATCCACCCAGGAATTAGAAAGAAAGAAAGAAAGAGAGAGAGAGAAAGAGAAAGAAAGAAAGAAAAGGAAAAGAAAAGAAAGAAAATGAGAAGACACTTAAACAAGATGCAACCCCAAACTTCCAGCTCACCAAAGGCAAACCTGGGGGCAAGGAGGTGGAACAATTTGAAACCCACCCTCCTGGACTCTCTCAAGAGGCAAAAGCAGAAGTAACAAAGCAGATAAGTGAGGCTCTAGAAAAAAATCAAGGCAGACATAGTTTCTCAGATAACTACAGAGATGGTGACCATAATGAGAGACATGCTTAGTGACTGTAAAGCAGATACAGGTAAAAAAAAAAAAAAAAAATAGAGGAGCTTAGGAAAATGATGGAAACTATGAAGACTGAACAGAGAAAAGAAATGGAATCCATGAAACAGATTCAAACAGATACCCAGGAGATTAAAACTTTGCAGCTGAATAAAAATTTAAATACATGCAGCAGAATGAGCTAATGTGAGGACACAATATCAGATACAGAAGACAGGAAAGAAAGATTTCTTAAAAATAGCAAGGGAAGTTTGATCCCGGGTACCAAAAAAAAATAGCAAGGGACCACAAAAATATCCAACAGCTACTAGATGATGCAAAGAAGAATAACATCAAATCGATCTGAGTCAAAGAAAAAACAGGAGATATCAGTTCTCAGCCTTTTGGACAGGAGATAGCACAAATGACATAAAAAACCTGTTCATAGAAGTAATGGCAGAAAACTTCCCAAGCATGGAAAAAGAATTTGACATACAGCTAATTGAGGCATATAGAACTCCAATTACTCATGATTCAAAAAAGAAAATGTAGGGCCAGGGATTTAGCTCAGTGGTTCCGGTGCCTGCCTCACAAGCGCAAGGTCCCAAGTTCGATCCCCAGTACCAAATAAAAAAAAAAGATTTGGCTGGGGATTTAGCTCAGTGGTTCCGCTGCCTGCCCCCCAAACGCAAGGTCCTGAGTTTGATCCCCGGTACCAAAAAAAAAAATGGAGGAAAAAAGAAGATCTAGGGGCCGGGGATTTAGCTCAGTGGTTTTGCCGCCTGCTGCACAAGCGCAAGGACCCAAGTTCAATCCCCAGTACCAAAAAAATAAAAAGAAAAGAAAATCTACACCAAGACACATAATAGTCAAGATTCTAGATATTCAGCACAAGAACAGGATATTTAAAGCTATTGGAGAAAAGAAACAGGGGCTGGAGATTTAACTCAGTGGTTTCACCACCTGCTGCGCAAGTGCAAGGACCCGAGTTAGATCCCCAGTACCAAAAAGAAAGAAAGAAACAAATCACGTATAAAGGAAAGCCCATCAGAATCACAACAGACTTCTCAACACAAATCCTCAAGTCAAGGAAAGATTGGAGTGAAGTATTTCAAGTCCTAAAAGAAAACAACCTCCAGCCAGATTGATGTACCCTACAAGACTATCTTTCAAAATTGATGAAGAATAAAAATTTTCATGAAAGAGGACACCTGAAGAAATCATGACCACCAAACCAGCACTCCAAAGTGTTCTGAAGGAAAGTCTAGAAAGAGATGAGGACTACAAGTCTATGAACCCCAACTGAATGAATCTCCCAGGACATGAAAGCATTTAAACAGAGAGGGGAAAAAGGCAACCAGCAACAAGAAAATAACATGACAAAGATAAGTCAATACATGTCAGTTATAACCATCAATGTAAATGGTATCAATTCACCAATCAAAAGAAACAGACTGGCAGTGGCGAAGCCCGACCGACCTCCAATGCTGCTTGACAAAGTTCCAGCTGGGGGAAAAGGAGGGTGGAACACATCGTACCCTCATGTTTTATTTTTTCTTGCCCTAATGTTTACAATTGTTACTCTGGTCACAGGAATCATTGTATTTGTGACTAACAACATATTCTCCATGAGGCAAATTGGCAATGTTGTATTGAAATCTGATCTGGCTCACAAGTCCCAAATTCTTGTTTCTCTCAGTTCTATTGCCATACCCACTTCTAAAGAAACCTCTCCTAAAACTCCCTCTGTTTTCCTGCTACTATAACTCCTTTCTTCTATTGATGACTTTCTTTTTACTAAAGGGGTCTTATAAAGAGATTGAAAGGACAGATTTTAAATGTAAGACGACACAGTGGGAAATGGGAAATAGAAAGAAAGTTAAGACAGATAAATACACTAAGGAGGCAAGTTACTCAGTTTTTCTCAAAGTACTGTAAACATCTGCTCGTGGACCATGAACCCAAATAACATTTAAGCAAGATGAATAGAGGTATAGAAAAAATAGAGAGCTAATAGCAAACTATATTAACCATTGTGCAGTTTCTCAAGGGCAAGCTGATGACCACGAGTTTGACATTTAATTAACTAAATCCTGCTTGTACCCCCGCTGATATAGAGATTTTGATTAAGTTACCTTCTGTTCTGCTTAGGTGTGGGTAAATAAGGGGACAATTGTAATTTTTAAAATGTATTCATGATGTTCAATGAAATGAATCAGCTTAGGAAAAATATACTTTGTTTAGTAAAAAATAACCTTTATTTCTATAGAAATTGCTAAGGCAACCTAAAATGTAAATATGTTCCGCCCAATGCCTCCTAGCCATTGCTTAAAGATATAAAAATAAATCAGACCCTGAGACTTCTCAGAGGGAACCTGCACATTGCTTGCGAAGGTTCTTTTCTCACTCGCCGGCCCGAGACCTCTCCCCTTCCTACCCTGCATCGACTGCAGCTGGTCTGCGGCATGGCAGCATGGATCAAGAAGCAAGATCCAACAATATGCTTCATACAAGAAACACATTTAATTCAAACAGATTCATAGACTGAAAGTCAGAGGATAGAAAAAAAATATTCCATGTGACAGGAAACCAAAAAAAGCAAGGGTAGCTGTTCTATTTGGAAAGTGGATTTCAAGCCAAGACTGATTAAGAGAGACAAAGAAGGTCACTTCATCATTGTAAAGGGAACAATCCAAGAGCAAGAGATACAATCATAAATATATATGCACCAGATACCAGCATACCTAACTATATAAAACAAATATTAGGCCCGGGGATTTAGCTCAGTGGTGCTACCATCTGCCTCACAAGTGCAAGGTCCCAAGTTCAATCCCTGGTACCAAAAAAAAAGAAAAATTAAGCACTAATACAGTTGTAATGGGGGACCTCAATACCCCCACTGTCACAAACAGATCAACTAAACAAAATATCAACAAATATCAGAACTAACCAAACTTTTAAACAAATGGACTTAGTAAATGTCTACAGAGTGTTCTACCCCACATCAGAATACACCTTAGCTGCACATGGGATGTTCTCCAAAACAGACCACATATCCACTCACAGAACATGCTTAAGTAAATGCAAAGGAATTGAAATTATCTCGTGTATATTATCAGAGCATAGTGCAATGAAATTGGAAATCAGTTGCAAAAGAAACCACAAGAACTTCATAACACATGGAAATTAAATAACACCCTCCTCAACAACCAATGGGTCACAGGTGAAATTAAAGAAGAAATTAGACAGTTTCTACAATTAAATAATAATGCCAGTACAACATACCAGAATTTATGGGATGCAATGAAACCAGTCCTTGGAGGCAAATTTATAGCAGTAAATTCCTGTATCAGAAAAACAGAGTGAGCTCAAATAAACAACCTAATGTTGAACCTAAAGCTTCCAGAAAAAGAAGAGTAAGTCAAGCCCAAAGCTCATACAAGAGAAGAAATTAAAAAGATCAGAGCAGGGTTTAGTTCAGTGGTTCCATCTCCTGCATCACAAGCACAAGGTCCTGAGTTCAATTCCCAGAACACACACACACACAAAAAAGATCAGAGCAGAAATTAATGCAATGGGGACTAAGAAAACAATATAAAGAATGAATCAAAGAGTTGGTACTTTGAAAGATTAAATAAAATTGACAAACCCTTAGCCAACCTTATCAAAAAAGGAAAGACTCAAATCTATGCAATTAGAGATGAAAAGGGTGAAGTCACAACAGACCCAGCAGAAATCCAGAAGATCATCAATACCTGGTTGGAGAACCTGTACTCTAATAAGATGGAAAACACAGAAGAAATGGACAGATTCCTGGATACATATGAATTACCAAAGCTGGATCAAGAAGATATAAAAATTATAATTTAGCTCAGTGGTTCTGCCACCTGCCTCGCAAGCAAGCACAAGATCCCACCTTCGATCCCTAGTACCAAAAAAAAAATTATAAATTAATCAGTATCAGTCAATGAAATTGAAGATGTAATTAAAAACCTACCAATAAAGAAAAGCCCAGGGCCAGGGATATAGCTCAATGGTGCCGCTGCCTGCCTCGCAAGCGCAAGGTCCCGAGTTTGATCCCCAGTACCCCTCCCCCCAAAAAAGAAAAGCCCAGGCTCTGATAGATTCACTGCTGAATTCTACCAGAAATTCAAAGAAGACCTTATGCTGATAATTCTCAAACTCTTTAATGAAAGTGAAAGGGAAGCAAGCATTACCCTGATACCACAACCAGAGAAGGATCCAACCAAAAAAGAGAACTACAGGGCCAACCTTCCTAATGAACATTGATGCAAAAATCCTCAATAAGATACTGGCAAACAGAATGCAGGAAATCACACACAGAAGGGGCTGGTAGCTGAGTTGAGTGGCCATGCCCGATATTGTCCCTGGAGCCCTAGATCTAGAGAGGGTCCCAGGGGTCCTCTCTAGAGTACCTCTGGATTTACAGGTGAGTGTCGAGGCCCAGAGAGGCAAGTGATTCACACACTGGCATACAGCGATTCTCTCCTCAAGTTTCCGTGCCCAGAAGGACCCTGATATTTGGACTGCTCATAATTGGGTGATTCATTTCTTCTTGAGGTTCTGGGGATCAAACCCAGGGCTTTGCACATGCTAGGCAAGCATTCGACCACTGAGGTGTACTGGAGCCTTGACCACCCCCACTCCATTTCCGTTCTTCAGTCCCCTTCTCAGCAAGGTGACAGTAGGCAGCTGCTTTGCTTCTCCCAGTGACCTGTGCCAGAGTTGGGAGTGGACAGGCCTGCCCTCAGAGAGGAAGCATTCCCCAGGGACCTGCCTGCCGCTGGCATTGTGTCATAGGTACCCTCTGGGAGCAAGGGTCCTGCTTGGCTTTTGCCAACCCCCTCTCCCTGCCCCTGGCTTAGGTTTTTGACATGGACTATATCCAGTACCCAAACTACTGTTCCTTCAAAAGCCAGCAATGCCTGATGAAAAACCGGAACCAGAAGGTGAGCCCCTCGGCCTGCTCCCGCCTTCTTCTGCCTCCCCCTCAGCTGCCCCAGCTGGTGAGGGCTGTGGGAGGCAGTAGTTTCCTCACATGTCAGGGCAGAGCCCTCCACAGAGGCAGCCTCTGCTGCTGCAGTCCTGAAGTAAGCAGGTCTCCCAGGCAGCAGGGCCAAGAGGAAGTTGGCACCCAGAGGCGGGACAGTCCCTGAGGGCAGGGTAGGTAGAACCCTCAGCTGGGCCAGGAACTGGATGTGGGGTTTCAGTCTGGCCCCTGTTGTTACTCACCAGGTAGCTTAGGATCAGTCACTTCCCCTCGAGCCTCAGCTTCTCATCTCCAAAAGGGGCTGGGACACTTGGCGTCTCCCTGGAGCTTCCTCCTCTCCACTGTCCGTGGGGCTGCCAACACCTCCTGCCCTCATGCTGTGGGCGCCTGGCTCAGGACACAGACCACAGCCCAGCCCCTCCCTAGGTGTCCCGCCTGAGATGCATGCAGAACGAAACCTACAACGTGCTGAGCCCAAGCAAAGGCGAGGACCTCATGCTTCAATGGAGCCAGGAGTTCAGCACGTTGGCTCCAAGCCACTTCAGATGAGCTGGGTCCATCCTATCTCCACCCTGCCTGGCCTTTCCATGATCTTCGTCCCTCTCTTTGAAACCTCACCTGTCACTTGCTTCTGGGCTGCCCCCCGCCCCCTGTCTTTTCTAGCTCACATGCTCCTTGGGGTGGGGCAGCAGTGCCACGGCTCCCTGAGGGGAGCTCACTTGCCTTCATGTCTTTACATAAAGTGATGATTTTTTGCTGTGTGGCCTGTTTGTGACTTGAGCTCCATCCTGCACCCCGGGCATCAGTCCTTTCTCCTGGGCATAGGGTAGGGCCTGTCTGCAGGTGAGAGAACTGTGGGATGAGAGAACTGTGGGATGGAGCTTGGGAGGAAGAAGACCAAACAGTCTGTGAGCTGACTGAGGAAGGCCTCAGATGAGGGCAGGGTACAGGCCAGAGCTCGACCATGTCCCAGGATTGGGTGTGGCTGGCACTTCATCAGGAGGGAGGATTCAGGAAGTTCAGCCTGGAGCTCAGGACCCCAGTGAGTGAGTGACTCGGTGATGCCCAGGAACTTGCCGGACGATCTGCATGATGAACCGCTGCATCCTGACAGCACACATCGAGCTGGGACTCCACAGCTGCCCTTCAACAAGTTGGAACTTCCTAAAGTTCTTTCTGGGAGAAGCTTGGGATTTGTCTCTTCTATAAACTCAATAGTAATTAACCAAATAAAAAAACTTGTTTATTATGGAAAAGTTTGAACATGCACACAAATAAGATGGGTGTGGTGGTGCACACCTGAGAGTCCAGCACTCTGGGAGGCTGACGCAGGAGGATGACAAGTTCAAGGCCAGCCTGGCAACTTCATGAGGTCCTGTCTCAAAGTAAAAAAAATTTTAAAAGGTTAAGGATGTAGCTCCATGTGAAGGCCTGGGTTCAGCCCCAGGTGTGCACCCCACAAACTCATGCACAAACAGTTGGTATAGCCCTGTGGTGGAACGCATGCTTACTGTGCAAGAGGCCCTGTTTCAAACCTCAGCACTGTGCAAACAAACGAGCCTTGTGGCCCGCACGCACGCAGCTACAGGATCAGCACACCATCCACCAGCACAGTAATCCTCGGAGTTCACAGAAACTGCTCAAGCTGCTGTTTCCCAAATTCTTCTGGCCTGCATAGTACTTTCTTCTCACCGAGAAGACATTTCACTTTGTGCCCAAGGAGCAGGCAGGCTCCTGACCTTTACTGAGCGCCATGCTCAGCTCAGTGAAAGGTCGGGCGGGACAGGGGACCCACAGAACACTGGTGGCCCCAAGAGGAAGAGTAGGCAGGGGGAGGGACAGAGCTGAGAGGCCAGGCAGCGGTGGGTTAGTCATCGGCACCAGAGGGTGGGTGTGCCGCAAGCTCCCGGAAGCTGAGGCAGCCGCATGGTGAGGGAGGGAGGCTGGGCTGGACGAGTGGCACTGGCTGCCAGGGGCTTGGCTCCTCGGGCCAGTCGTGGAGGCAGGTGAGGTCGAAGTTCCTCGTGCTCTGGCTCCCTGGCCCGGCCCTGAATGGGTGAGTGCCGGGAGCTGGGAGGGATGTGCTGAGCGCCTGGTGGGTGTGTCTCATCAGAGCAGGTCCTACCCGCCCCGCCCAGGCCGGCCCGCCTGGCCCAGCCCGGAGCCAGAAGTCAGCCCAGCCGGCTGGGGCAGCCGCACAGCCCCCGAGTGCAGGTACGGGGTGTGTGGCATCAGGGTGGGCCTGGCAGGGGGCAGAGTGGGGGACGGGTGGGGATGCAGGTGAGGTGGCCGTGGGCTATAAGACCTCTCTGAAGAGAGGGAAGAGGGAAAGGGGACCGCCTCCAGCGGACAGACCTCGGAGGGAGCCTGATGGCGGCCAATGTGCCAGGCACCCCAGGGACCCCCAGAAGTGAAGCGGCCGCTCCGGGGGTCCCGCCCCTCCCCTTAGGCCCTCATTCTCACCCTGAGCCCTGGGCTGCCCACGGAGGCCCCTGGGTCTGCCTCCGATCTCTGCCCTCTTTAACCCCATCCCCACACCCACTCCCCGGGCAGGCCAGTCCCTTTTCCACGCGACCCAGAGCTAAGGATTCAAGTTCAAGTTTGACACAGGTGTCTTGTTACTATCCTTCCCAGGTAACCGAGGTGTTTAATTCTTGCTGGGGCCTGAACCCAGGGCCTTCACACTGAGCTACATCCCCGGCCCTTTTTATTTTTTATTTTGAGATAGGCATTCACTAAGTTGACAGGTTTCCCCAGCTGGTCCCAAACTTGGGATTCTCCTGTCTCAGTCCCCCACAGTGCCAGGATCACAGGCATTCTCTACCAAGCCTGTGTCCAAGGTATATTTTATTTTGTCTTTCTCTGTCTCTGTCTCTCTCCTATTTTTTTTTTTTTAAGACAGGGTCTCACTATGCAGTTCAGACTGACCTTGAGCTCCCTCTATAGCCCAGGCTAGCTTGAACTCATGGTGATCCTCCTGCCTCAGCCTCCCAAGTGCTGAGAGTACAGACATACGCCACCACAACTGGCTCTCTCTCCTTTTTGTAGTGCTTGGGTTTGAACCCAGGCCTGCAGCACAGTAGGCAGAGGAGCCACATTCAGCCCCCAAGACTCTCCTTACTGGGGTCATTTGTAGAAGAGGATGGGCTGTGTGGCCTCTCATGTCCCCATGGCTGTGACACAGTGAGGCCCGTGAGTAGCCTGAAAGGGAGGATGTTTCAGACACTAGGCGTGGGTGGAGACACCATGGGGAGGCCACTACCTACCTGCTCCCTGTGTCTGTGGAGCCTCCGTGACACGAGGGGATCCCGCAGACCGGATCTCCAAACACTGCCTTCTAGGGTGAGCCCAAGTTGGGGAGATACTGTGTGTGTGAGCTGCCGGGGCCCAGCTCCCCACCCTGTCACCCCAGTGTGCACCCTTGAAAAAGTGGGGCAGGGACAGCGGTGGAACGTCTGACTAGCATGTGTGGCCTGGCTTCAGTGCCCACACTGCAAAAACCCCACAAAAACCAGGGTGAGGGTGGATGCAGTGATGACACTAAGTTCAAAGCAAGGTTATGGAGGCCAAAAGCCTCAGAGGAGGTCGCCAGGAAGAGGCTGGGCTTGCCAGGCTGACAGCAAAGGCAGGTCAGATACCTGCAGGCCAGGGAGGCAAGCAGTGCAACCTTCTCTAGGCTGGGACTGCGTTTCCTGTTTTCCTCCCTGAGAGCAGGGTGGAGGAGACCTGCAGGTGGCCGGGTGTCAGCCACACATTGGGTAAACTAATTACTGAGCTCTGGCCACCTGTGATTTCTGCCTTTTCCCAGAAAAATGTTGGGAGGGACGAGGTCTGCGTCCCAGGGAGGGAGAAGACATGGCTGGGGATGCTGCTGGAAAGGTGGAAGGGGTCTGTGGGGGCTGGAGCCGCCTGCTTCAGTAAGGCTGTGGCCCTGGGTACCCCAGGACACCCCCACCCCGCCCCGTCCATCATCCCTGGTGCGGGAGGTCCTGGTAGCCTGGGGCTATGTCTACACTGCCACCCTTCCATTGCATCCTGCACCTCACACCCAGGTCAGCAGCTGATGGATTCATTTGTGCCCCTGAAGCAGCTCTGGGACCGAGCTGTTCACAAAGCAGAGCTTTTAGGTTGGGTGCGGGCTCTGCCGGAGACCAGCACAGTGGGGACCCATTTGGGGACCCTGAGTACTCGGACACGAAGGGGTCAGGCCACTCCCTCCCCTCAGAGCCTGAACACAGATAGGGCACAGGGAAGTGGGCTCAGCTAACTTAAGCAGCGGGGCAGAGTGCCTGCCAGAGGGCTGCAGTACTTCCTGTGCCTGGCATGACACACCAATGGACCAGGGGAGCCTAAGCAAGGTTGGGGCTACCCAGAGCCCAAGGAAGATGGGGAGATCTGAGAGTCTTTCTCAAACTTCTGACTCTAGGGTAAAGGCAAAAAGATGTGAATTATTCGGAGGCAGAGAGAACATTTAGCACAGTGATGGGAAAACCAGGGCACGCGGTGGGCTGTTTATATCGCGGAAAGCTGAGAAAGGTTTGCCATCCTTGATTCGGGCATGAGTGGAGGTGCGCGCGCAGAGGGGGCAGAGTTGGACAAAGAAGAGGTATTTCTGTCCCCCTTCCTGTCCCCCTTCATCTTTGTCCCGAATCACCTCTTCCTTCGTCCTCAGCTCCCTCCACACTGCTGGCCGGTCGCCAGAGGAGGTGGCACTGAGGGCAGGGTGGCGGGGACAGTGAGGAAAGGATCACAATCTCGCCTCCTGCCCACTGCGATTCCTGGCTCCACTTCCTGTCTGGGGCAGAAAGCAGCCCTGCCCCTCTGGTTTGTCTCAGCCAAGAGCAGGCTGGTGGCTCAGAGGACAGCGGTCGGTCCGGCCCCAGGAGCCCTGAGGAGCAAAAGTGTGGACCTGCCCAAATGAGGCAGAGTGGGCTGGGGGGAGACAGGGTGCGGTCCCTCCCTGCTGCTGCCATGGAGACGGGGTTTCTGTGCCCCAGTGCCCTGGGGTGGAGATGGGGTCCAGTCTGCCCAGGGATGCGCTTGGGACCACTTAGCCCAAGTGTCCACATAAAAGGCCTGGCTGTCTGGGATCCTCCTTGTGTGACGGCACACACGCACACTGCCTTGCACGTTACTGTCTCTCAGTGCATGTGTGCCGCTTTGTCTGTGGATGCCCGTGTGCTCACGTCCCCTGCCAGTGAGCTCCCCGTGCACTGAGGCTTCACATGCCTCACTGTCCCTCCTGCTCCCTGGTGAATCGACCCCAGCGGCCCTTCTGCCAAGGCAGCTGCTGCTGTCTTGGTCCCTGGCCCCCCTTCAGCCTGACCTCTCCTGGGGGCGCCCCTCCCCCACAGCGACACTCCTGCCACTCCCTGTTTGCCTCCTCAGCAGTTCTTCCCATCTTTCCCATCTGGCCTGGCACTGTGCCCGCATAGCTCCACAGATGGGAGCCCCAGAGCTCAGGGAAGTGGGGGAACCGCGGGGACCAGGGCAGGGGCTGGCAGTGCTCATTGCTCAGCTTGGCCTTTCCCTGCGACTCTGTCTGAGAGAGGTGGCTTTTGACAAATAGGTGCCACCATAAAGACACCCAAGTGGACTTCTGGGCTTTTTAGGGGGAGGGGGTCACTGAGGACCGAACCCAGAGCCTTCACACTGAGCTACACTACAGTGGCTAATTGGTCTGTGCTGGGGTCACACTTCTGATCCTTCTGCCTCAGCCTCCCAGAGAACTGGGACTATAGGCATGCTCCACCTAGGACTGCTCTTCTTTAGAAAGAGGTAATGCAATCCAGGTGTGCTGTCATTCCAGCACTCAGGAGGCTGAGGCAGGATTGCTGCAAGTTCGAAGGCAGCCTGGGTTGCATAGTGAGTTCAAGGCCAGCCTGAACCACACAGCAAGATCCCATCTCAAAAAAACAAGAAGGGGGAATGAAGGAAAGTGGGGATTGACTGCTTAGTATGTGTTTCCTAATTGTAAGAAGTCACAGTGGTTAAAAAGGAAAGAATGTATCTGTTTCTGAAATAAACTGAAAGAGTAAAACTGTTACTGAAATAATGTAAGCCCTCTCTAAACAGGCCTATCAAGAGAAAACCTCCCTGTCCCCAGTTTGGTTTTCTGAGACAAGGTCTCACTACGTAGGCCAGGCTAGTCATGAACTCACCATATAATCCTGGCTGGCCTCAAACTCAGGATCCTCCTGCCTCAGCCTTCAGAGTGCTGGGATTACAGGCGTGTGCCACCATGCCCGGCAAGATGTGGCTTCTCCACTATACTTGTTAACCAAAATAGGCAGAGTGTGATCAGCAGTGGTTAGCTGACTGGCTTGATAAAAGAGAAATTAGGGCCGGGGATTTCAGTGGTTCTTCCTCCTGCCTTGCAAGCACAACGTCCCAAGTTTGATCCCAGGTACCAAAAGAGACAAAAGAAAAAAAAGAGAGAAATTAAAGGTGAGCCAACGCATTTGGTGGGGAGTGGATTTTTTTTTTCTTTTTTGAGGCAGGGTCTTGCTATGTGGTTCAGGCTGGCCTTGAACTCACTATGCAGCCCAGGCTGGCCTCAAACTCACGGTGATCCTCCTGCCTCAGCCTCCCAAGTGCTGGGGTTACAGATGTGTGCCACCATGCCTGGCTCCCTGTAATGGGTATTGCTCCAGGCCTGCTAAATGCAAAAGCTAGGTTTGTGTCTCCAGGGTATAGTCCCCTACCCCCTGAAAAGACCCGAGAGGGTTCAAAGCCCTTTCCTTGAGATGGGGTCTTGGTTTGCTACCCAGAATGGCCTCGAACTTCTCTGTTCAAGCGCTCCTCCTGCCTCAGCCTCCTGAGTAGTTGGGACTGTAGGCACATGCCACTGCATCCAGCCTAAGTTCTCAGATACTCATGGGAAGCTGTAAGGAGGCAAATTTGTGTGTGTGAAGAAGATAACTGGGTGTTCCCCGTGCTGAAGGAAGTGGGCTACTAAAATCTACTTCAACTAGACAAATGAGGAAGTAAAATAAGTTACCTATGGGCAAAGATTTCACGTAGGCGACTATAAAAGCCTGGCGCTCCAGCAGCAGCCGTCCGTGTATCCACCAGCCATCCACTCCTGCTGCAGCCAGCATGGTACAGTTTGGACTTTGGAGCTGGGCGCTCCTGGGTTCGGATTCTGACCTTGCTCCTCAGTGATCAGCTCTTGGATTTCAGCTCTAGAACAAACACCGAGCTCATAGGTCTCTTGGAAAGATTAAAGCTTATGCAGTGTAGCAGCCCCAGGGATATGGTGAGCTGTGGGTAAGGGTGGCTGTTACTCCCACTCCACATGAGGGGCAGGGGCTGGGCACACAAGGATGAATGAGCCAATCTGAACTCAGCCTGAGGGGAGCAGCCGGCTAGGAATGGCTAAGCACACGGAGCCCCATCCCACACTCCAGAAAGCACGAGGGCACCCCGGCCCGCAGGGATGAGGATGGGAAAGGGTTCTGGGGTCAGCCAGCTAGAGTGAGGGAAGGAGCCCACAGCAGGCTGGGCACAGGCAGAGGCCTGAGAATGCAGGGGTACACAAAACTCAGAAGTTCAACAGGGGCTGGGATGGAGCTCAGCATGGAGGCCTGGGTTCAATCTCTAGTAATGCAAAAGACAAAACAGGACAGATATCGTGTGATTGCATTGACATAGGTAATGTAGACTAGGCCATTCATAGACAGAAAGCAAATAGAGTTCCCAGGGGCTACGGGTGTGGTGGAGCCAGCAGTGTCACTCAGTGGAGGCAGAGCTGAGCTGTTGTTTGGGACGATGACAAAGTTCTGCTTCTGGAGATCATTCGGCTGAGGGCTGTGAACCACTGTGAATGCACTAAGGACAAGGAGCAAGGTACTCACAATGATTTTTCTTTTTTGAGACTGAGTCTCACTATGTGGTTCAAGCTGGCTTTGAACTCGCTGTGTAGCCCAGGCTGACCTCAAACTTATGGTGATCCTCCTGCCTCAGCCTCCTGAGTGCCGGGGTTACAGGCATGAACCACCATGCTGAGAGATACTTAAAAAACAAAGAAAAGGTTAAAAAAATAAGTAAAAATGGTACATTTTGAGCTCGATGTGGTGGCACACACCCACTTATCCCAGCAGTCAGAAAGTGGAGGCAGGAGAGTTGCCCGAAGTTCAAGGCCAGCCTGGACGACACAGCGGACACCTGTTCTTTGGGGCAGCAGAGACACCACTTCCAAGCACCCCCCTCTGCCCTCTGGGGCCTACAGTCCCGGGGGGGCTCCCTGCCCAGAGCCCTCTGCAGCTGTCCTGGTGGTCCCTGCAGGGGAGAATATGGGAAGAGCCCAACACAGGGTCCCCCCAGCTGGATGGAGGCCCAGGTCCTCGAACTGCCTCTGCCCCAGGCCAGTGGCCAAGCCCCCTCTGAACACACCAGCACGTCCTCCTTCCCACTGCACAGGCAGAGAAACTGAGTGAGGGCTGGGCAGGTTGAAGCAGTGAGCTGAACCCCTGCTGCTTGGACCCCAAGGCCGGCTACCCAGAAGGCTGAATGTGAGGAGCAGGCTGGCTGGGCTTTTGGAGTGGACTTGGAAGTCTGAGCGTTATTCCTTAGACTGCAGGGTGCTGTCCAGGGCCTGGCCCAGGGGAGGGCTCCTCGCCACACCCGCTTGGGGGACCTGTTTACACTGCTATGACGTAGGTCTCCCTCCCAGGGGAGGATGAAGCAGGGGGCGGGGGCGGGTGGGCCGTGGTCTGTGGTCTTTGTTTTGTTCTCTGCCTGGAACTTGCCTGGAACCCTTCTCTGAAAGACTTAGAACACTCTAGTGGCTGAGGCAGGAGGATCCCAGTGAGTTCAAGGCCAGCCTGGGCACACAGCTAGACCCTATCTTAAAAAACAAAACAAAACAAAAAAGACTTAGTAAGCCTGGAGAGAGGGAGGGAGAAAAAGAGGGGTCTTACAAGATTTCCATCCATAACCTTACTTCATCTCTAACTTGGGGAAGTAGAGACTCAAACTTCTCTCGCCTTTCCTCCCCCAAGGAAAAGAAAATAAGTCTCAAAAAGGTTACCTTTTTTCTCTTTTTCTTTCATTAATTAATTTATTTTGCAGAACTGGGGCTTGAACACAGGGCTTTTATTTTGAGACAGGGTCTTGTTAAATTCCCCAGTCTGGCCTAACCTCGAATTTACAGTCCTCTTGCCTCTCCCAACTCCTGAGCAGCTGAGGTCAGAAGCGTCCACACCTGCCTATACACAAGGTATGGCTGGGCCAGGGATTTAGCTCAGTGGTTTGGCCGCCTGTTGTGCAAGCGCAAGGACCTGAGTTCAATCCCTGGTCCCCCCCCCAAAAAATACACAAGGTATGGCTGAAAAATATGGTGAAGGTTTACATTACAAAAATAGTTATTACAGTAAAAAAACCACATTGGTATTGATCCACCTACCTCACCACCCCTCCTTTGAATATACTATCCAACTGTTCTGGCCGCTGTCTGAACCAGTCTGGAAGGCTTCTTTTGTGGGTGTCTTTATTTGCACTGTTGTAGTTGCTTTGATGTCCTGGACTGATATAAAACTTTACTTTTCCTGGTTATTCTGACTTTGAGGAAGAACCAGAAGTTGCCTGGTGGACAGGGTGGGTGAGGACACACTGGTGTTTTAAGCCTGCCTTTCCGCTAAATGGCACTCAGAAGCACCGTTCACCCAATATTTAATCAGCTCATAAAGACACTCACAGAGGACCCTTGTGTATCTCCAGCCTTTTGAAATTTTTTTTTTTTTGAGATAGGATCTTGCTAAGTTGCCCAGGGTGCCTGATCCTCCTGCCTCAGCCTCCCAGAGTGCTGGGATCACAAGTGTGCACCTCCATGGCTGGCTTTCCGTCTCTGATGTCTCATGGCTAGAGAAGGCGGCAAAGCTGAGATTTAAGCCTAGGTAGGTTGGAGTCGCTGTATCCAGAGCCTGGGTATTTAGCGCCCGACAGGCGGTCCTGCTGTAGGTGTGTAGGAGTCCGGAGGCCCGCAGGTGAGTGAGTAATCACTCACCTGCAGCGCTGCCCCGCTTGACATCGGCCTTCTCATTCCAGGCCCCTCTGAGGATGACGCTGTGTGCAGAGGCTCTGACCGCTGGCAGCTGGAGCCCACACTCCCATGCCCCGGCTCTGCGCCCCCGCCCGGCCGCCGCCCTGGAGGTGACCGCCATGCCCAGGCCTCGGAGCGCCCCCTGACGCCTCGGCCTTGCTCCACCGCCACGGGCACCATGCTGTCCGCCAACCTCTCCGAGTTCTCCAACTTCTCGGCCAACGCGTCCTCCCCGTGCCCCGACTATCGGGCCTTCCACCAGCTGCACATGGTGGTCTACAGCCTGGTGCTGGCGGCCGGGCTGCCCCTCAACGCGCTGGCCCTCTGGGTGTTCCTGCGCTTGCTGCGCGTGCACTCGGTGGTGAGCGTGTACATGTGCAACCTGGCGGCCAGCGACCTGCTCTTCACGCTGTCGCTGCCCCTGCGCCTGTCCTACTACGCGCAGCACCACTGGCCCTTCCCCGACCTCCTGTGCCAGGCGGCGGGCGCCGTCTTCCAGATGAACATGTACGGCAGCTGCATTTTCCTCATGCTCATCGGCGTCGACCGCTACGCTGCCATCGTGCACCCGCTGCGGCTGCGCCACCTGCGGCGGCCCCGCGTGGCGCGGCGAGTGTGCCTGGGCGTGTGGGCGCTCATCCTGGTGTGCGCCGTGCCCGCTGCCCGCGTGCACCGGCCCTCGCTCTGCAGCCACGCGGGCCGCCGCTGGCGCCTGTGCTTCGAGAGCTTTGGCGACGAGCTGTGGCGCGGCCGGCTGCTGCCGCTCGTGCTGCTGGCCGAGGCGCTGGGCTTCCTGTTGCCGCTGGCGGCCGTGCTGTACTCCTCGTGCAGGGCCTTCTGCGTGCTCGCGCGGCCCGACGCCCCGCAGAGCCGGCGGCGGCGCAAGACGGTGCGCCTCCTGCTGGCCAACCTGGTCATCTTCCTGGTGTGCTTCGTGCCCTACAACGCCACGCTGGCCGTGTACGGGCTGCTGCGCGGCGACCTGGTGGCGGCCGGCCGCGGGGCCCGCGAGCGCGTGCGCGGGGTGCTCATGGTCATGGTGCTGTTGGCCGGCGCCAACTGCGTGCTGGACCCGCTGGTCTACTACTTCAGCGCCGAGGGCTTCCGCAACACCCTGCGCGGCCTGAGCGCCCCGCTGCGCGCCCGGGCCCGCGGAGAGGCCGCGCGCCCGGGCGGGCTGGGCGCCACCGGCCAGGCGCTGTTGCGGACCCCGGACCCCGGGCCGCCCGCGACCCCAGCCCTCCAGGACTCGGCCCTCTGAAGCGCCCGGCCGGGGACAGCGTGGGCTCCCGTCGGGGGAGGGTGGATGGGCCGCCCGGCTAGTGCTCCCGGAGGCAAAAGCGAACGCGTCCCGTCCCGAGCTTCCGCCTTGGCCTGGAGGGCATAGCGCCTGCCTCAGCGGAGGACGCGGCTCCTCCTGGGCTCGCCCTGCTCGGCTGGGCTTGTCGCACTAGAGGCCTGACACCCAGACCCGGCCCTCGGTCTCCGTCCTAGGCCGTTCCTCTCCCTCCGCCCCCTCAGCGGAGGCCACAGGAGCGTTAGGACGGTGACGACCCGTGAGGGTCACCAGAGCTGGCTCGGTCTCACGTGCTGATCGCCATGCCTGCACTAGTGTCGGTTCACACCCAACTGCCCCAGCTGTGCGGAACGAGTGTGCTCACACCTGCGGGACGGCGGGGGCGGCCCGCCCGGCTAGCGGGGCTCGCGGGGGCAGCGCGGAGTCGGACACCGGCCGCTGGCCGCCGGGCTCACGCGGAGGACGCCAGCGCTGGGAGGCGCTGCTGAGGGACAGGAGCCGAGAGGCGAGCGCAGGGCGGCCGACCGAGGCCGCGAAATGGCTTCCCGCCGCTTGGCCCAAGCCGGGGCTGGCTGGGCGCAGACTCGTGAGGGCTGGTTCTGGCTGTGCGTCCTGCACGCATCTGTGGGCTCTGGCTCTCAGTACGGTGGTGTGTGCGCCTGTGTGTGTGTGCGCGCGCGCGTGTGTCTCAGCCTGGACTGAGCCTTTTGTGTGTCTGCACCGGCGTTCCAGTTGGTGATTTACAGGGGTAAAGTGACCCCTGGTGGCCAGAGCGGGAACTGACCGCGGTTCCTCGGATTAGCCTGGGCTGGGCCTCCTCCACCTCGGGGACCGTAGAGTCCAGCAGGTCCCTACCCATCCCGGGTCCCAGCGGCTCCCCGCTGGCCAGCTCCCTCCCTGTCCCGCTCCAGCCTGGGGTTCAAAACCTGTGCCTTTCCGCACCTTCGGGTACGAGCAGAACGATACCTCACAGTCCAGAATCTCAGAATTTTGCCCGATCCAAACTGAACACAACTTTAAAAAGTACTTAAGGGAGCCAGGCGTGGTAGCGCGCGCCTGTATTCCTAGCGCTCTGGAAGGCTGAGGCTGGAGGAATGCCAACCTGAGCCCAGCCTGGACAATTTAGCAACCAGGCAAGACCCCCATCTCAAAAGATAAATAGGGTGGGGATGTAGCTCAGTGCAAAGGCCCTGGGTTCAACCTGCAGTGCTTAAGGCGTCCCAGCAGAGCTCAGAGGGAGGGCGTGTGCTCCTCACTCACCGGCCTCTGGGTTCGACCCCCTGGACCATGAAACTAAATAAATGATTTTTAAAGAGTTGAGTGCTGTGCGCTTACGTGTGGGTTCGTGAGTTCCCAGCAGTTACCGCAGCACCATGAAATGTGCTCATTTATTCCTCCCAAGGTGGAAGGTCAACTGGGAGGCAGCGGCTGGGGGGGTTTGCCGGGCTGCACTCGGGCTTACCCTGGCACCGAGGGCAATGAGGACGTCCTCCAGGACAGGGCTCAGCCCTTGCTGCGCAGGTGGACAGCAGCGACTCTGAGGGTGCGGAAGGCGGACCTGTTGGGAGTGCTGAGGATTGGGCTACGGGAGGAAGGAGAGGGACGAGCGGGTGCGAGCCTGAGGCAGAGGATGGGCGGGCAGGTGGCCCTGGCCTGCGGGGAGCATGCGGCTGTCTCCGCTCGCTGCAAGTCTGGGGCTGAAGCTTCGGCGGACGGTTTCCCTGCGCTCACACAGCCCAAGGGTCTTGGGAGGCAAGGACTGGCCGGGCAGAGCTGCAGGCAGGTGGGAGGGAGCGGAACCTGACGTGAAGCCTGCTGGTCGCAAGTGAGCGGGAGGGAAGGAAGATGTGGGCAACCCAGGGCCCTCGCCCATCTTCCGGGCTGGGAAATCCAAGGAGAGAGAGAAAACCGTAGATGGAAAGGAAAGAGCACGAGCGCTAAAATTTCAGGACACATTCTGCTGGCCTGACACAGTGGCACACACCTGTGGTTCCTGGCCTCACTCAGGAGGCTGAGGCAGGAAGATTGCTTGAGCTGAGGAGCTCAGCGCTATTCTGAGTAATATTCAGGGACACAGTCTTGGGGAAAAGATCTTTTGTATATCAGGATTTCAATTTAGCGCTTCAGACGCCTGGTCTCATGTCGTGGTCAGCAGCCCTCTAAGTTGGGGGTGCACAGATGGGACACTCGGGACAATCCTGAGGGAAGGTCACACAGCCGGGAAGTGGCTCCCTACAGAGTGCTGCGTCTCCTCCTCGTTGTCCGCCAACCCGCCCTGGGCTAGGTGCCTCTCCTTCCCTCCTCTTTGAAGTTCCCTCTCTCCCTCTCAGACTGCGCCTAGGCTTCAGCTGCGCCCTGCCCTTTCTTCCAGGCCTCCCTCCGCGCCCCAACCCACTCCTGCGGCCCCCTCTCCTGTCCTCCCTTACACCTGCTGAGAACCGCGCACCCCTGGCTCCCATCACGCTGGCCCCAAACAACCATGCAGGGCTCAGAGAGGAGGTGCCCGGTGGCACCACAGGCGCGGTGGCCTAGATGTCCTGGGACACCTGTCCACCCACTGGGAAGCGGGCCACCCTTTGGGTCTCGGCTCCCCCAGGGCTGCCTCCTCCAAGTGCTGGTGGAGCTGACCGGGTCGTCTCTGGACTTGAAATCCAAGGAGTCAGGAGAACCAGGACAGGGGAGGATCCCAAAGGCCAGCAGAGAACTTGCTTGGTTCGTGGTTCTGGACCACTTGGAGGGGGGATCCTGGGACGTCGTCCTTGGGTCCCACAGAAGAAATGGGGAAGGGAGGGAGGCACACGGGCTGCTTGGATCCGGCCCTGTTGCCCTTCCCGGCAGAACCCTGAGAAAGCGAAGTTTCTCTCCTGGGATCTGGGAAGACCAAAGGCTCCTAGAGCCTGGGGATCAGACAGTCCTGGGGAGTGATTTCAGCTCTCTCCTTGGCAAGGTGACCTCAGCCTTCTGCCTGCTCTGAGAACGGGGCTCACAGTCCCTCCTCTTGGGTCACGAGAAGAGCAAGCGCCTTGGGAAGCCGGCGCTAGCTGCCCCACAGTGAGCGGGGCTCCAGGTGAGGTCCCCCGAGGAGCTCGGAAGGAACCCAGCGGCCGAACTGGCAGGAGCAGGCCGGACACGTTTCCACGGCGCCGGGTCAGCTGCCGCCTTCAGGCCACCGGGTGCTGCCCTCCGGGGCACGCTCCCCGCGAGGAGCCCGCCGTCCGTCCCGGGCTGCGGAGGAGGCGCAGAAGCGCCAGAAAGGGACAGGAGGGACATGGCGAAGAACCAAGCGATGGCGAGAGGGCCAGGGAGGAGGCTGGAGGGGAAGTGGGGCCCGCAGAGGGGCCCGAGCCACGGGCGAGACGGAGCGCGACCGACCGGAGAGAGGGGGACGGGGAGGGGACGCCTGACACAGCCTCGATGAGAGCCACGGGCTGGGTCTTGGCCCACAGGTCAGGCGTCTGGCAGTATTATGGGATGGAGAGGCCTTAGGAGACAGGGGAGTATTATGGGCTGGAACAGCCTTAGGAGACTGGGGAATATTATGGGCTGGTGAGGCCCGGCTCCAACTGGAGGCGGGAGGAAGGGGTGCGGGGCGGGAAGGGGGGGTGGTGGTGGAAGGGATTATTATGGGCTGGAGGCCTCCTGCGACCAGAGGCAAGAGTATTATGGGCTGGCAAGGCCTTCGGTGGCCAGAGGGGGGAGCGGCGGGGGATGGCACCGGCTGCCTGTGACTGGGGGGGCCAAGTTGGGGGGGCAGAGAGTGGGGGTGGGGCGCTTATTATGGGATAGCTCTTTGTACCTACTGCGGGGACTGCTTCTCCAGAAGATATTATGGGATGTCGCGTGTGGGAGGGGGAGTGGGGTTGGGGGATTATTATGGGATGGTGGTGCGAGTGGGGAGGGCCAGAGGAGCTCTTTTCCAGTCCCCTAAACCCTCGCCCGCACTACCATCACCCTTGGGGTCAGCCTCGGCCTCCAAGGGCCCAAGGCGGGCACACGCACAAGCAGGCACGCGCACACCGCACCACACCACACGGGTATCTAACCACCTGGTAGCCCTCGGTGCGTGACGCAGAGAGGGCGCCCTGAGCGGGGAGCGAACCCCGCGGCAGGGCTGGGCGGCCTGGGCTCCGTTTCCCACCTGCGCTCCAGGCTCCCTGACCCCCGGCCACCCTCCGCTTCCCTCCCGTGAAGTGGGGGGCCCTGAGCCCAGTCCCCACCCTGCCCCTCCATTTCCTCTCCGGCTCCCTCCACAGCCGTAACAAGTAAAACCGGCAGCTGGCTATTATGGGATGGCTGCTCCCAGCGCTCTGCAGGGAGGGGGCGGTCACCGCGGAAAGGCTCCTGTGGGTGGCTATTATGGGATGGCCGCCTCTCTTTTGGGGCGGTGGGGGGGGGGCTGTCGAGGAGGATTATTATGGGCTGTGCCCTGCCAGCCGGGTGGGGCTGTTCTGGGTAGGTGAGGCTCTGGGGAAGGGGGTGGAGAAGGAAAGGAAGAAGGAGGGAGGGAAGGAGCTGGGGGTGGGGGTGGGGGCTGGAGTCGGACCTCAGCCTGGCGGGAGAGGCCGAGGCGGGCTCACCCAGCCAAATCTGAGCCCGGACCCCTGGGTCCGTGGCACAGCTTGTGAGGAGTAGGGTCACGGAGGGCCTGGGGTGCTGTGTGGAAGAGAACTGGGCCTGGATGCTGGCCGTCACAGGGCTGGTGGTCCCGGTGACTTTCCCCGAGGCCCCCCATCGTTGCCTTCCTGGGTGGGCCTCGGGACCACAGTTCATGTCTGGGGGGCTCCGAGCAGAGGGTGGAGTGCCACCCCGAGGGCAGAGTCCGGGTTGGCTCCTGAGGGGCGGACTCTGCGTCCTGCCTGCCACCACAGTGCGCTGTCACTGTGCCTGGTACCCCCTCTGTGGTCTTCCCGGGTCCCTTTCCCAAGAGCAGAACACGGTGGGCCTGTGGACCCCTGACAACACCCTGGGGCAGCCCCTCGAACGCTACTCCAGGTCCCTCCACCGCGGGATGGAAACGCAGCTCCAAGGCGACTAGCTGGGGAGGCTGCCCCGGTGCATTAATTAGAAGCTCTCGGCTCCTTCAGTCTCTGCCGGCCGATCACGGTCACGCCGGGGCTTATTTATAATTTATCTGGCAGCAGGCACAGGAGTAGAAGACCACAAAAGCAGCATACAGCACAACCCAGCTCTCTTTGGAGCTCAAGAAAAGAGGAAGGGCTTCACTCTCCTCCTCGGGAGCCAGGGAGAGGCGGGCAGTCACATAAGCTGGGGAATCCGCGTCTGGCCCGACCTGCGACCTGCGACCTGCGACCTGCGACCTGCGGGGAAGTGGGACTGGGATGGGACGGCGTGGGCCGTGTGGGTGAAGGAGAGCGGGTTTTGAGTCACAGGCAGGAGGCAGAGTCCCTGCGTGAGACCCGGCTACGGGCTTGTACTATGGATTACCGTGGCCGCGTGGTGTGTGTGTTAAAGCAAGGGGAGCTCTGAGGCCCAGAGACACACTGGGTCCCTAGAGAAATGGGGTACAGGAGGGCCTAGAAGGTAGCTGGCAGCTCTGCTTCGGAAGGAGAAACTTGCCTGAAAGGATGTGTACCCACATTATGGTGTCTTTGTCTTTTTTATTTTATTTATTTTGTGGTATTGGACTGGGAATTGATTGAGTCCAAGGCCTTCACACTGAGCCCCACCCTCAGCCCCTTTTACTTTGAAGCAGGCTCACTAAGTTGCTGAGTTGCCCTGGTTGGGCTTGAACTTGTGATCCTCCTGCCAGGGTTACAGGTGTGTGCCCCCACACCCAGCTTTTTTTTTTTCTTGGACAGGTCTTGCTATGCAGTCCAAGCTGGCCTGAATTTACCATGTAGCCCAGGCTGGCCTCAAACTCTTGACCTTCCTGCCTCAGCCTCCCACATGCTGGGACATTAGGAGTTTACTACCACACCTGGCTCCAGTTATGGTCTCTTCAAAGAGCTGCCTCCTGCCTCCTTTCCCCACTTTGTGGTTTGGCAGTTTCATCAGAATGAGCACTGAGCACAGCAGGGTTTGGATAGGTGAAGGGGGTTCCATCTTGACATCAAGGAGTTGAAGGAGGGAGGCTCTGGAAACCTAGTGGAATGGGGGAAGGGACCAGGGCACCCCACCGTGAACGCAGAAAGAGGGTGATGGAGATCCCAGAGGTGGAGCAGGTGGAGTGAATAGGGGGCACTCAAACTTTAAAGGTGACAGGGTCAGGATTTAGCTCAGGGGTGCCACCGCCTGCCTGGGAAGTGCAAGGTCCCGAGTTTGATCCCTGGTACCAATAAACAAACAAACAAATAAATAAATAAAACTTTAAAGGTAACAGTGGGAGCTTTTGGCTGAGGTCCTGTCCGGAGAGAAGAGTAAAGATGCAGGCAGCAGCTGCTGGAAGACAACAGATTCATTGGTACTCCGACTGTGAGCAAGGGGACTGTCATTTCCTGAAGCAAGCTCTCTCCTGCCCCTCCCAGACTCAATTTTCTGAGCCTGTCTCACTTGTCCCTGGGTCCCAGAAGAGGGGAGAGTCACCTGGCCAGGCCCTTTCTCTAGGGAAGTGATGAGCAGGCACCACAGAGGTGGCATGAGGTCCTTCCTGTTCACTTCCAGCCAGGATGGGCCCTTCCAACGAGGAAGTTCTGGTTTCTTTTCAGCCTGTCCACTGCCATAGTTCTTGGGCCTGTGTGGAAAAGGCAGATGAGAATTAGAGGTGTTATCTGGTGGCTTCAGCGTTGGGGGCTTTGGTTTTCACTGAGCTGACCCTTGAGATGCGGGAAGGGGGATGGTGACAGGCTGAAGGACTGGGCTCTGCAGGCCAAAGGGTTCCTCGCTGGGGCTGCTCCACTCTGTGGGGCTAGTACCCGGGGTGAGGAGAGGCAGGCACAGTACGTGTGTGGGAAGCCACCTGGTTGGACAGGTGAACAAGGTGGGCTTCGTGGAGTGCCGACCTGTATGACCTGTATGTGGGGACGGCAGTGGTGAACTTGGCACCACCAAAGCTTTTTGAGGTGGAGAATGGGGCTGGACAAGACCAAGATGGGGCAAGTGGAGGCACTGGGACACTTAGGGTATGGCTTGGGAATGTGACTGACAGTATGGGACATTGTGGGTGAGCAGAATTTGGTGGTCAAGAATGGGGTAACAGTTGCGGCAGTTGCCCAGCAAGGAAGGACAGGATGCCTTGGGGTTTCTATGTGAGGAACACTGGGTGGATGAACAGTGCCTGCCAACTAAAATCCTCCAGTATGCAGGGCACACTGAGGTTGCTTTGGTCAGCCATCTACACTGGTAAATCCTTTTGGAGGAGGACCACCAAGAACTCCACCAAGACACGACTTGTCCTGGGGCCTCGGGTTCTGATCTATCTCTGGGATAGGATACTGGGAAGTGCACTCAGCGGTGTTCTCTTGGCATGATTCTTACTTGGGTCCGTGTCTTTTGGTTTGGGTTGGTTTGTGAAGGGAGGTACTAGCCTTTTCTCTGCATTGTCCTGGTGCCCCTCTGTGCCCTGCTAGGTACTCTGTCAACAAAGGCGGAATGAGCATGAGCCTCGGTGTGGAGCTCCGGCCAGCCCTGATTGTGCTCCTGGGTTCTCCATGATGGGCTCTTCATCAAGGGCAATTACCTTGGGATGCCCTGGAGTGAGTTCAACTTTATGGGGATGTTTCCTGTGGTCAGCATAGTATTTGTTGGTTTTCCTCAAAATTTAAGAGCTGGGAGAAGGATCTGGGCTGTACCTGGACGTCGGTGGGATTGGGTGGGACCCTCGATTGCTCCTCAGCTTCTGAGTGCTTGGAAATGATGAGCTGAGGGAACCCAAGGCCCTGGACGTCTGGCACTTCAGGCCGGCACTGCCGTGGCCAGGAAGGGAATGAGGTGCATCTGTGGTGCGGGCGGGACAGTGTGGGCAGGAAGAGACTGACAGCTCTGGGAGGGGGGAGGGGTGAAGCCGAGTATTACGGGATGTCCGGGTGGACAGACACAGGGGAGGCCGTGGAGATGAAGCATTATGGGATGTGACACTGGGTTGTGCATGGGCTCTTTGCAATTATGGGATGTCAGGGAGTGTGGGGGGGGAGCAACACCATTATGGGATATTCCAGTGTTAGGGGAAGGACATTCAGGTGTCCATCTGTGAGTGATACTGGGCTGCGATGCTCTTCCTCCTGGGAGGATGGAGCGGTGAGCGCAGCCCTGGCGTGGGGCTGGGAGCGGATGGAGGCTGGGTGCTGGCTGAGCCTCTAGACCCAAGCCTGCGGACCGAGGGCAGCTCCGGGGGTGGGTTATTATGGGATGTCAGTATAGAAAGTGGGAGACTGATTATTACGGGATGTGCGTGGGAGGAGGCCGAGTGTCCGTTGTTGTAGTATGGGGGGGGGTGAGTTTCTGACTATTATGGGATATCAAACTGGGGGTGGATGAAGGGTGGTTATTATGGGATGTCTGTGGGGGATGGGGATGAGTATTATGGGATATGAGGCTGAAGTGCTGGGAGGCGTGCTTATTATGGGATGGCCATGGGGAGGGAGGGTAATGAATTATTATGGGATGTTAGCATTAGGGCCAAGAGTGAAGAAGTTGGCAAAGGATGGTTATTATGGGATGTCTGAGGGTTAGTTGTGGAATTCCGCAATATTATGACAGCAGCCCCCTGGCATATATGTGTATGGAGTGTGTCTGGGGGGGCGGGGTGTGTGTCTGTGGGGTGTCCGTGTGTATTATGGGATGGCCAGGAGGTGGGCGGTTGCCCGGGTGACACGCGGGCGCACTCAGAGGGGGCGTGGCCAGTGGTTGCCTGAGCGACGAGGGGGCGGGGGTTGCCCGGGAGACCTAGGGAGGAGGGTGGCGGTAGTGGGGGGGGTTGGAGTTGGTTGAGGTTATTATGGGCTGTCCGTGGGGGGGGGCGGGGCCTGTGCGGTGGGATTTTCCCGGCCGGTGTTTCGGGCCCTTTAAGAGGCGACGCCGGAGCCGGAGCCATTTTCCCCCCTTCGGCCGTGGTGAGGAGGAGCCGGAGCGGGAGTGACACCGGGCCGGACCCAGCGCGACCTGCAGCGGCTACGGGGTGAGGAGAGCGCGGGGTTTCTCGAGAGGCGCCCCTCACGGCCCGACGAGCTCCGAGGGTTTTCCTTCACCTGTCCCCTCTTCGGGCGCCCCTGCCCCCGGGCCGCCTCCTGCCCGTCCCTGCAGGGGGCCGGAGTCCCCACCCCCGCCTGGCCCGCCCGGCCGCGACCCGCTCCCGCCCCTCGCCCGGCCGGTCTCCCGCCAGGCCCGGCGCCCGCCCTCGCCCTGCTCTCTCGCCCCCGGGGCACGTGGCCCGGCCCCTTCGCGGTGGGCGCTCCTCGCCCGCGTTCCTGCCGGGACCCCCGGGGCGCCCGCACCTCCACGCCCCCCGTCCCCGGGGCTCCGGAGAACCTGAGTTGTCCCGGGGGACAGGCTTTGGAGCGCTGCCCTGTGTGGAGACCGGCCCCTCCCCAGGCACAGAGAGGCTCCCCCACCCCCAAGTGACCTTGTGTCCCCGAGCAGCTCTCGCCGCCGGCTCCTCGAGCCCCCCGCCGCGGTCACACGGACCCCCTCCGCCGGGCACCCCGCCGGCTCAGCTGCCCGGCTTCTCGCTCTGGACGCCGGCACCAGCCTGCCCCGGGGCGTTGCTCCCGCCCTGGTGGGGGCTGCGGCGGCGGAGCCGGCTTCCGGCTGCCCCCGGGAGTGTGGAACTAAGTTCAGCCCGAGCTGCTCGGGTGCCCGCCGGGGTGGCCGGGGTGGCCGGGGTGGGGGCGGAAGAGCGGTGAGTGTGGGGGAGGGGGCCTCGCGTCACCGACTCTGCTCCCCCTCCCCCCACAGTGACTCGGGCCGGTGCAGAGGGCCCCAGGCCGCAGGCCGGAGCAGCTGGGCCGATTCCCTGGCCGGGAGCGGAAGGGGATGGCGTCGGGCCTGGGCTCCCCGTCCCCCTGCTCGGCGGGCAGCGAGGAGGAGGACATGGATGCACTTTTGAACAACAGCCTGCCCCCACCCCACCCAGGTAACATCTTCCCCTGGGGCTGGGGGCCGGAGGGAGGCACTTGAGCCCTCCCTAGTGACTCTGGCAGGGAGAGTGTGACGTTCGGCTCGCTCAATGCGGAGCCCTAGGTGGAGGGCATCTGAAGGGAGTGGTTCCCTTCTGCGGAGCTCTGGTGTGAGGGAGGTGGAAGCCATGTGCCTCCTGGGCACCGCGGACCCAAATGCAAGCTGGCTGCACTGACTGTCTATCCTGAAGAATGTTTTGCAGTTCCCAGCTGAGGGAGCTCTCTGGCTGGCAGGCGTTTTACCTTGTGGGGGTCCTTGGGGGAATTGCAGGTACCTGGGACACCTGGACGCTGCTAGGGGCTTTGGAGGCAGGGCGCCGAGGATTTCTGTTGGAGGAGTCCGATCCTGTGGTTGTTGCTGTGGAAAGGAAAGAGGGAGTGCTGGTTAACATCTGATTATTTTTAGGTTCGGATCACTTACGGGTTTTCTGTGCTGTTTCAGCTGTGTGAAGTTTGAATCGCGCTCCGTAGTTGATCGAGAGCACTTTCAGCCAGGCAGATCGATGAAATGTTTTGAGTGGGGAAGGGGTGGGGGCTTGGGGAGGACGCACTAGCCTAGCAAAGAGGGGCAGAGGAAGGGAGGACACCCCTCTTCCCTGATGAGTGGGCATAGTCCTGACTTCTATCCGAGAGGCTTCTGCCTCTCCGAGTAGCCCAGGGTTGGGGCTGTTGTGTGAGGTGTTTGTGTAGGTGAGGGGTTTCACCGTCTGTTGTGTTTTGGGTTGGCTCTGTGGGCTGACCAAACCCATAGGGTTGTAACCACTCCACCTGATTGGAGTAGCTCTGTCTGTCCTCAGAGGCTGGTTGATGTCATGCTTCTGAGTGGACGTCCACTCTTTCCTTTTTCAGAGCCTCTTAGCCAAGTCACCTGCTTGTTTCCTTGACCTTTTCCCCCCTAGTTTCTAGCTGTTTTTTTTTCTTTTCTGTATGGCATTTCTTCATTCTTTCTGCATCTACCTTTTTTCTCATTCTGGAGGCTGCTGATTCTGTTTCTCTCTTTGAATGTCTTTCACTTCTGCCTTCTCTCTTCTTAGTTCCAGCTGGAAGTTGAGGTGGTCTGGGAGGAATGCTTTCACATTTGGCATTTTTTGACTTGGAATTCTTCACTTCAACCTGAGGCCATATAAGAGTGCAGTCTGTGTTGCTGAGTCTTCAGCTGCTGGGATAAGGGACTTGGGCAAGAGTCTCTTCACTGTGAAGGGTAGGGTGGCTGATTCCTGTGCCCATACTCCAGGTGGGTGGAGTGGGGGTAGAAGGGGAAGGCTCCCTCGCTTTCATCATTTCGGCCAGGGGCATGAGAAGTAGTAGCGCCATCCAGCAAATGTTGGTTCCCCAGCTTGGCCTCCCATTAGCCCAGTGGCCTGAGACTGCACCCCAGGTAGACTTGGAGCTGTGCAGGCTCCCAGGGTGAACCCTCCTGGAGCTGTATGTAGTGTGACCCACTTTTTCCATTTGCCACACCCATTCCTGCCCCTTTCCCAGACCTTCCCGTGCTTCTCAGCGGCTTTGCCACTTGCCATTTCGGCACATTGTTTGAGGAGTTGAGGGCTATATGTGGATGGAAGCGTTTCTGTTTGGCTTCATGGGTTTGTCCTTGTCTCCATTTCTAGCTTCTGTGGAGGCAAAGAGGAAGAACTGAGATATAGCGATTGGGGGGTGACTTGGGGATTCCTGGGGAGGAGCCCTTAGGAAAATGATTCTATCTGGTGAGATCTGTGCTGGTGTTCCACTCCCAAGGGAGTGGGAGGGGCTTTCTTGTGCCTGGCCTGAATCTTCACCGACTGAGGTGGGGTGGCTGCTGGTGCTTTGTCCAGCCTGTTTCATGTTCCCTAGTATCTGTCTGGCTCAGGGAGGGTGGAGCCAGAGGCATTCTAAGGCTAGTTTTGGGGATCAGGCACTCAGAGTGCATGTGGAATTGAAGGAAATATACTGTCTTCCCTCACGTTTTAGGTCCTGCTACTTCTCTTGTTGTGGACGTGATTCACATATGTCAGCTAGGCCCCCCCATATGTTGGCATGATTCCCATGTGTTGGGTTGTGGGTGATGAGGAAGCTGAGTTGTGGGACTTCTTGTGGATTCCCACTCCTCAAGCTAGATCTGTAGTTTGGGGAAAAGATTTTGTGCTCTGACCACAGCTCTGTTGAAATTTTGTTAAATCTTCATTTGTCATGGGTGCCTAGGGTGACCTTTGTGAACTGTGTCACCCCAGTGTAGGTGTTAGAGTCTAGTGGCATTTGGATGTGGGGTCAGGTAATAATTTGGCAAGTCTGCTGTGAGGGCAGTCTCCCTAGCCACCTCTGTCAACCCCACCCCCTCCCCTGCCACTTCCTTTCTGTCCTATGTTGGCAGCTGGGTGCCCTGGCTGCCTTCTGCGGTCAGGAGCCATTTTCCCTCTCCTCAGTGGGTGAGACACTCCCTTTGCTCCACTCCCTTCTCCACTCTCCCCTCCTTGGGCGGGGGTGGCTTGGGAAGAGGGGGAGAGGAGGAGGAGGGATGTGGGAGCTGGTGTGTGTGTCTGATACAAAGAGAGCTGCCTCCTGGCCTTTTCCTCCCCACCGTGCCCCTTCCCACCTATCCCTGCCCGGAGCTCTCAGTGTTCCCCAGGCTTTGTGTGTGCTTCCAGCCAGGGAGGTGGTGGAGCCAGATGGGAGGAGGACTGGGAGGGGGAGATGGTGACAGCTGGGCTGATTTGAGCCCCTAGGGAGAAGAGGCTGCTGACCCAGGAGAAGCTAGGGAGGAACTGTGGGCTGGAGACGGAGAAAGGAAATTGTGTTTGAAAGTGGGTGCAAGGCTGGAGCAGAAACTGAACCTGGGCTTGGGAGGTTCTGGTTGTCCTGAGCAGTGGTGACGCCAAAGGGGTTAGGGAAGGGTATGGTTTCTGGGCCCCTGAGCCTGTTCTTCTGGAATGTAGGTAGGGCATGTTCTGCGGTTGCCTTGTGGGTAGGACCCCCATTCCCATCCCTTGGCTTCGACCAGTTGCAAGAGGCCTTGGTCCTAGTTTTCTTGCTGGGTGAACTCTAGGCAGCTTGATTCAGCTGTGCTGGTGAACATCTAGAGGGCTGCTGAAGGAGTGGGGAGAGGAGGCCGGGCCTGGATAGCTGCCCGAGGTGGGCCTGGGCTGGTTTGCCAGGCCTGTCTTGGGTACACACAGCTCTCTCTTTGTTGGTTGAGTCCTGGGTATTAGCTTCCTTCTGTGGAGAGTATAGCAGTTCTCTTCAGGGGAATCTGGGACAAGAGGTGGGGAGTAAAATCTAAATCCTCCAGAGTAGGCTCTAACCTTTGCTGTTGATCTTTTCTCTACCTACTGCTGTTTGACAAATTTATGTAGAAAACGAAGAGGACCCAGAAGAAGATTTATCAGAAACAGAGACTCCAAAGCTCAAGAAGAAGAAGAAGCCTAAAAAACCTCGGGACCCTAAGATCCCTAAGAGCAAGCGCCAAAAAAAGGAGGTGAGTGGGTGACTGCATGCTGCAGAGGAGGAGAGGAAGCTGGGAGGGGCTGTGAGCAGGGCTGCAGGGCTGCAGGCCTCGGGCGTCAGGGTCAGGGCCAGTCCCCTCCTCTGGAGTGGTGGGCTGGGTGGGGATGGGCCTCAGGGCTGTCCTGAGGTCAGCATGTGTGTAGCCTGTGTGTCTGTCTCCCTCTCCCCTTCCCTGCTCCAGCGTTTGCTCTTATGCCGGCAGCTGGGGGACAGCTCTGGGGAGGGGCCAGAATTTGTGGAGGAGGAGGAAGAGGTGGCTCTGCGCTCAGACAGTGAGGGCAGTGACTATACCCCTGGCAAGAAGAAGAAGAAGAAACTTGGACCTAAGAAAGAGAAGAAGAGCAAATCCAAGCGGAAGGAGGAGGAGGAGGAGGAGGATGATGATGATGATTCAAAGGTGTGTGGACCTCCCTCCCCTCTGCTGTTGATTCCTGGTCTCAGTGTCCCAGATATTCTGCTGCTCTCTCTACCTATTTCTAATTGGTTCCTCTTATCTCTGGTCTTGCCAGCTGTAGCTTCCATCTCAGGTCCCCTTAACAAGCAGGGCACCGGGTGGCAGGCCCTTGACTTTGCTCTCTCTGCAGGAGCCTAAAACGTCTGCTCAGCTCCTGGAAGACTGGGGCATGGAAGACATCGACCATGTGTTCTCGGAGGAGGATTATCGCACCCTTACCAACTACAAGGCCTTCAGCCAGTTTGTCCGGTAAAACAAGAGGGTCTGGAAGAGGAGGATAGTCCTTCTATTATCTCTTTTTGCTTCTCTTTCCCTTTTCTTCTTAAACATTTTCCTGTTCTTGTCCATTTTTCCACCAGACCCCTCATTGCTGCCAAAAACCCCAAGATTGCTGTCTCCAAGATGATGATGGTTTTGGGTGCAAAGTGGCGGGAATTCAGTACCAACAACCCCTTCAAAGGCAGCTCTGGGGCTTCAGTGGCAGCGGCGGCAGCGGCGGCAGTGGCTGTGGTGGAGAGCATGGTGACAGCCACTGAGGTGGCACCCCCGCCTCCCCCTGTAGAGGTGCCCATCCGAAAGGCCAAGACCAAGGAGGGTAAAGGTAAAATGGGGTTTCATGGGCGAGGGGACTAATGTGGGCTTTGGAAGTCACAGAGCACTGGGGCATGGGAATGCTGTTTGTCAGTCCCAAGGTAGGTGACAGGAGGGAGGAGTAAGTCTGGGATTTGCGAGGCCAGACAGATGGAGCAAGTTTAGGTGAAGATTTTGTTTTCCACTCATTTTCCCTGTGATACATATTTGAGGGTGTCCTGGTTTTAGGACCCAATGCTCGGAGGAAGCCCAAGGGCAGCCCTCGTGTACCTGATGCCAAGAAGCCCAAACCCAAGAAAGTAGCTCCCCTGAAAATCAAGCTGGGAGGCTTTGGTTCGAAGCGGAAAAGATCCTCGGTGAGTGGCCCATCCCTGGGGGAAGAGGCGGTTCTAATGGGAGGGATGTTCCCCTGGCTGTGGGTGTGGGGAGCTTCCTCTATGCCATCCCCTCCATGGTGCTCTCCCTCCCTTGGTGTGAACTTTGAACCTTATTCCTTTTTATTCTGCCAGAGTGAGGATGATGACTTAGATGTGGAATCTGACTTCGATGATGCCAGTATCAATAGCTATTCTGTTTCTGATGGTTCCACCAGCCGCAGTAGCCGCAGCCGCAAGAAACTCCGGACCACTAAAAAGAAAAAGAAAGGTGTGTTTCTTTTTTGTGTCTGTGATGGGACATGGTGGCAGTGGCTGGGGAACAATCTCCCTTAGGAGATAGGGTTGGGGGCGGCGGTCTTTTTCTAATAACTGGGCTTTCCCTCTTCCTTGCCCAGGCGAGGAGGAGGTGACTGCTGTGGATGGTTATGAGACAGACCACCAGGACTATTGCGAGGTGTGCCAGCAAGGTGGCGAGATCATCCTGTGCGATACCTGTCCTCGAGCCTACCACATGGTGTGCCTGGACCCGGACATGGAGAAGGCCCCTGAGGGCAAGTGGAGCTGCCCGCACTGCGTGAGTACTCAGCCGCCGTGGCCCCTGGCACCCTTGAGAGCAAGGGTGGGATGGGAAACTGGCGGTAGCAAGCTCTGGGAAGCATCCAGGGGAGCATGGGCAGTGGGTCTCACTCGAGGGGTGGGAGTGGGGTGGGAATAACGGGATTCTGTGATACTTCCCTGCAGGAGAAGGAGGGCATCCAGTGGGAGGCGAAAGAAGACAACTCTGAGGGCGAGGAGATCCTGGAAGAGGTCGGGGGAGACCCTGAAGAGGAGGACGACCACCATATGGAGTTCTGTCGGGTCTGCAAGGACGGGGGGGAGCTGCTCTGCTGTGACACCTGCCCTTCCTCCTACCACATCCACTGCCTGAACCCCCCGCTGCCAGAGATCCCCAATGGCGAATGGCTCTGTCCCCGATGCACTGTGAGTGACTGGGCTTTGCCAGGGTGGAACTGGGGGAAGATTAGTCTAGCTTCTAGAAGGGCTTGCCTGTAAGTGGGCATTGCAAGGTGGAGGTATAGGAGAGGTCACTGTAGAGCAGGTGCTTTTTAGCCCTGAGACAGGCATTTTCCTTCCTCTCTTAGTCTTGGGATGCTTTTCCTGGGAAAATGTAGAACTCTGAACTGAGGAGTTGATGTCTTGCCAGTCCTCTTAAAAGGGTTGACGTGTGGTTCTGGCAGAG